CAGCTCTAAGCGGTGTCAAATTTAGTCTAGAGGCGTACAAGACTATAGGAAACTTCGACGTACAAGAATTTCGGCAGGCAGCTGCGCTCTGGCTGGTCGACAACAACAGACCACTCCGCGAGTTTGAGACGCCGGCTTTTCGCAAGATGATCAGGCTTGCTAATCCTGAGGCAGAGGCGGCGTTATGGAGGTCTCATAACAGCGTGTCAGCGTTCGTGATGAGGTTGTACAGTTGGCTACGGCCTCAGGTGGTGCGCGCGTTGGCTGAAGCCGAGAGCAAGGTACATATAAGCTTCGATGGGTGGACGACAAAAGGCGGCAAACGTGGCTTCTTTTCTGTAGTTGCTCACTACGCCAACAGTAAGGGCGCGATAGTTGACCTACCCATCGCGCTGCCGCAGCTGGTGGGTGCCCACACTGGTGAGGCGATAGCTGACGCTGTAACCAAAATCCTGCAATCCTTCAGCATTAATCGCAGCAAACTCGGCTACTTTGTGCTCGATAACGCTTACAATAACGACACCGCTGTTAACAAACTCGCCGCGATGTACCACTTTTCTGCCTCCGATCGCCGCCTCCGCTGCGCTTGCCACATACTTAACCTTGTTGGCCAAACGATTATGTTCGGGAGGGATGCTGACGCGTATAACAACGCCCTGGAGAACACAAAGATGGAGGATTTTTACATGAAGGAGTGGCGGAAAGAAGGACCGCTTGGCGTGTATCTTGATATTATCAACTACATCAACACGCCGAAGCAGTGGAGTATTTTTGAAGATTGCCAACGCGAGGCAGTTAACAGCATGCCCACAGGCGCCAGCGGCGGCACTCGCGAGCCAATTAAGCCGTGTGTTACACGTTGGAACAGCTATTACGACTGCTTTAAGCGCGGAGTTCAGCTCCAACAAGCTATCAACGCATACGCCACGTACCACATTCGCGAGACTGAACAGGCTGACGAACAGGCAGCTATTAGAGGAAACAAGCTGCCTGATGTGCCGCGGTGGATGAGGTCAGACGGCCTTACGGCGGCTGACTGGGCGGTGATTACTGAGTACATGGCGATACTGCAGCCGCTCAAGTTTGCTACAGATCGCCTCCAAGGCCGCGGCAAGTGTGGCCGTTTTGGCGCACTCTACGAGGTCATCCCAGTATTTGAGAGTGTGATAACTGAGCTGGATGCACGCCTTCGGCCATACGAATCGGTCAACCACGAGCCATCTGAGGCGCCCGAAGATCACATCCCGATCAACCTGCGAGCCGCGAGGCGAAAAGCGAGCAATTACTTTACTAAGATCCTCCAAAGTCCCATTTACTACGCAGCTACGGCACTACATCCACGATATAAAACATACTCTAAGCGCTTCTGGCGCGACAAACCTACACAATTGAGCACCGCGCACGCGAAGTTTCTGCGGGTTTGGGCTGCCTACAAGCCTGCCGCTGCTGCCACAACACCAACCCCTGCGCCAAAACCTACCATGAGCAGCTTTGACGACGCTATCGACGCTATACTAGATGAGGACGGCGAGCATACATTGGAGGTGGAGGATGAGTACGATAGCTGGTTAAAAGAGCCTATGTGGACGTCTGATCAACACAAGGAGGGTCCAACAGCTGTACAGTACTGGTTATCGTTGAAGCCGAAGTATCCACATCTTTCACGATTGGCGATCGACGTGTTGACTATACCCGCCTCCAGCTCTGATTGTGAGCGCGTTTTTGCGGGAACTGGCGATATAATTGAGCCACAAAGGCGGAAAATTGGCGCGCAGTTACTGGCTGCTTTGGTGTGCTTGCAACGGTGGACTCGTGCAGGTTTTACAACACCAAGCACGACAACAGCAGCAAAGCATACTGATGAGGAGCTCACGGAAGAGTTTGCGATAGGAACGTGGGAAGAGCCGCCTGCAGAATTGTCATAGAAACGTCCCTTCAGAACCTTAAGTCTATCAATATTCAATCAATCAACCAACCAAAAATTGGCTCTTCAGTCTCATCAACTCAAACAAACAAACTGTAGCCCTAAGAAATGAGCCAGTCAATCAACATCTACGCCTCAAATGTTGGTTGTTTTGTTTGTTGACTTCTCTGCGCCCAAGCCAGGCAAGGCAGACAGGGTATGCGTCCCCACCACTACGCACGAACCCAACCCCAAAATTAACCCCGCTACCCCAGGTCGAAAGCCTCATATCCGCAGCTGCGAAGACAATAAAAGATAATGAGCCTGGAACGCTACGGTATCATCTTCAACGCGAGACCAACGGCGATGCGCCAAGATTCATTGTACTTGAGACGTAAGTCATGTGTTAATCTACATCTGTCAACCACTATGCTCGTATATGGAAGTTTGGGGAGGCTAATTTTTGTACACGCAGATACGCAAATAAAGCAGCGCTAGAAACACACATGAAGAGTGGGATATCGCAGAAGATGGGAAAGTCGTTTAAAGAGGAGGACTTGTTGGCGAAACCGATGGAAGTGCTGTTTACGAAGGGCGTGGGAGGGTTTGCTAGTAAGCTATGAGGAAAGCATGAGTCACGAAAATAAACAACACGCAGATTGTTTCAGACGTTGGGCGGAAGACTTGAGCATCGCCATTTTTCTTGGTGATATGAAGATCGTATTGAGCATCTACAGCCATCCATGTAGTTGGAATAGCAACCCATACCTCCCCATCTTGCTGTTGCAAATGCATACTTATCAACCCCAAGGGTCTTCTGGGGTGCCGAAATCGGTGACATGTTCAAGTGAGCTTTGGACTCAACTCTGTACCTGCCCTCGCACCTCCCAAACTAAACATCGTAGGGACTGATGCGCTGACGCGTCCCCGGGTGAGTCTGCCTCGCCTTCCATGCCCGGAAGAACTCCTCAAACTTGTCCTTGGTGATCTCATCAAGCACGCTCTGCTTACTGATGAAATAAATCTGTCCATCTATCCAATGAAACGCCTCGCTCTCTATCTGCATCTGGAAGATAGGCGTGAGATGATCAGAGCAGTACTCGGCGAGTGCAGCAACATGGTCAGGATGAAGCGGCTTCTTGTCTTTGCGTGCCACAATGCAGGAACCCTGAGAATCATCCCAAGTAAGCGGTGAAAAGCCCCAGCAAGCATAATCGTTTTCATCGCAACCCACGTTGAGAGCGTCAGCAGCTTCGTTGTGGTTAGCGCTGAAATATGCCAAATCTGGATTATTCGAATCCCAGATTTCCACACTTCCCGGAATACTCGCCACTGTGATGGGTAGCTTCATGCGCATGGAGGTAGGAGTAGCGTTCTGTCGAAAGATGGCGTGGAATTTGGGAAGGCTGATGATTTCGCATCTAGCACGCCCGTTCATGATAATGTCGCCATTGCAGTTCAAGCGCACACAGTCGACCATCTTGATGGGGTCTCGCAGCTTTCGCTTGAAGCTTATGATGTTGCGCGCGTCTTCATCGTTTAGGCTAATAATAGTTCTCGGTGTCGAGTCGGGGTGGAAGTCCTTAATTCCGTAGGCGATGACAGGACCTTTCTAGGTATGTGCAGAGTCCGCAACAATCAATCCGGATTGTGAGATTGATCTTGTGAGATTGTCAGATTGAAGCTATAATCAAATCAAGAAGCTAGTCTTTAGATTGGTAGCTCAATCAATCAATCCGTGACATCTAGATTACCAGATTGATGAGATTGTGCCGCTGCTGTAGGGGTGGAGGGTGAAGGATAGATAAAGGATGGAGTTTCTCGTGATAGCGCGTCGTGACGCGTCGTGGCGCGTCCTACTAAGTCGTATTACCTAGCGGAGCTCCCCTCACCCCTCTATCCTCCGCCTATATCGTTCGTTTTTAACAACGCGTTACAATGCCTCCCCAATCTCAAAAGAAGCGTAGCGGCGCACCTACAGTTGCTGCTAAAGCTGCTAAACGACTGCGCCTATCGCAGCGATCGCTGTCGCCCCGAGAAGCCCTAGCTAGCCAGGCCACTGAGTCGCCGTCTGAGCCAGCGTGGGAAACGCAATTTTTGGAGTCGCAACCTAAAGCTGAGATCGCCGCGCCCACTGAGGGCAGCCACGCTGGCACTGGATTAATAGCAGACGACGCTGGCGCAGGCCGGTCGACGTGGGAGACTGACGGGGCTGATCACTTTGATAGGATTAATTGGGAGCGGCTGAAGCAATACATGAAGCCAGTTAAGGCGCCAACAGGTAAGAAGAGTTAGATATATCAGCATGGCTATCGCGTTGTTAAGCGGAGTAACCTAAAAAGCGTGTGGTTTGTATGTAGATACTGCCATTCTCACAAGGTCTTTGGTGGTGGCCTATACGATATAACGAGAGCGACGTCTGCAGCAGCAACTTACCTCCGGAAGGCTGCACGAGGCTATGGCTTGTCTAACGATCTCGACGCAAAAAGCAGCATCGCGTACGGGCAAGGTCAGCTATCGCTGCAGCAGGCGATCGACGGCGGCGTTGAACTATCCTAAGAAGCAGCCAACGTATTTGGCTACTTTAACGTACAACAGTTTCGACTCGCCTTTATTCTCTAGCTTGTCGACAACAATATGCTAATGGAAATAATCGCCCGGCAATCGACGCGCGACATGATCAAGTTCGCCAACCCAGAGGCAGAAAGCGCGTTGTGGCGAAGCCCTCGCAGTGTCGCAACGTACGCGATAAGGCTGTTCAAGTTGCTAAAGCCGCAGATAGTCTTAGCCCTATCTGCAGCTATAAGCAAAATACACATAAGCTTTGACGGCTGGACAACTAAGGGCGGGAAGCGCGGCTTCTTTAGGATCGTTGCCTATTTTGCTACAGCAGCTAGTGCCGTACACGACTTGCCTATTAGCCTCCCGCAGCTCGCTGGCGCGCACACAGGCAAGATAAAAATACAATTCTGCGCAACCTAGCTAACTTCTATAGGCGAGGCTATTGCTGCTGTTGTTATCCAGACGCTGAGAGAGTTTGGCATTACACCTAATCAATTAGGCTACTTTGTCCTCGACAACGCGTCAAATAATGACACCGCAATTGCAGCAATTGCGCGCGATTACGGCGGCTTTGATCCTATACACCATCGTCTCCGCTGCAGCCCTCATACGATCAATCTTATTGGGCAAGCTCTGCTTTTCGGCGACGACAAGGACTCGTACAACAACGTTGCAGAGCAGCTTAGAACAGAGGAGCTGTACATGCGCGAGTGGCGCCGACATGGGCAATTAGGCACGCTAATTGCAGTTATCAACTTCATCAGGACGCCGCAGCAGCATGAGCTTTTCCAGGCTTGCCAGTGCGACGCCAACAAAGCGCTGCCGGCCGATGATCAGATCCCACTCCTTACACCCGTACGCCCGGTCGTCACCCGCTGGAACTCGTATCACGCCGCTATTAAGCGCGCTACAAAGCTCCACGGCGCCTTTAATCGATATATGGAGCACCACATTAAAAGTGTCGCTTTTAACGAAAAGCGCAGCGGTAGCGCCTGCAAGGATGTGCCGGCTTGGATGAGGCAAGGCGGGCTCGCTGCCAACGACTGGGCAACAATTACAGAGTACCAGAACTGCCTTAAGCCGCTTAAGATAGCAACGAAGAGGCTAGAGGGTCGCGGTAAGGTTGGCAGTTTTGGCGCAATCTACGAAGTGCTGCCAGTCTTCGAGTATATACTGCGTAACCTCGAAGAGCTTGCGCAGCCATGGATTGACGTTAACTTCAACGCGCATAACGAGGCGCCAGAAGGTATATTTTGCAGCTACTTACAGGTTTTCCTCGCTAACGATTGCGTCTATAGATCACCTTCATATTAACCTCCGCGCTGCCTGGAACAAGGCTGACGCTTACTACAATAAGCTCGACGACTCCCCAGTCTATTACGCTGCTACGTGCCTCCACCCTCTCTACAAATACTACTGTGAAAACAGTTGGAGCGAGAAGCTAGAGTGGATCGAGGCCGCTAATAAGGGCTTCCAGCGGCTTTAGAAAAGCTATAAAAAGCTGCCAACGCCAGTGGCTATTCCAGCGGCTCGAGCCGCCCGAACAAGCGATATAGACGAGGTAATCGGGGCCTATACACAGCGTAATCACACAGCAGCAGCCCCGCAAGGCGATGAGTATGACCGCTGGCTTAATCAAGAGCCGCCATGGCGTAGCCTTGACGACGGTAACGTTATCCAGTACTGGATTGCGATGCGCTCAAAATACCCCTGTTTAAGCCAGTTTGCAATCGATATACTGACTATCCCAGCCTCAAGCTGTGAGTGCGAGCGGCTCTTTAGTGAGCTCGGTGATCTACTCGAGCCAAAACGACGCGCGATCGGCAGTGAGTTGCTTGCGGCTCTACAGCTTATACGGGCATAGACTCGGGCTGGCTACACTACCATAAAAACAATTGAAACGCACAGCGGCGACGGTGATAGTAGCGGCAGTAGTAGCGAGAGCTTTACAGACGACTCACTAGCGCGAGAGTACGATATATACAACTAGACAGACTCGTTAGATATCGTAACTCTAGGGGAGTAGCTACACTACCAAAATCTAAAATTTCTGACAATCAAGTCAAGTCAAGACAATCTCAACTGCCTCACGACACCTCAATCTGCAATCAAAACAATCCGTAGGGCTGCTCTCGCCTAATCAAGTCAAGAAATCGGTCTCAGATTGTCTTGACTTGATTGTTGCGGAGTCTGGGTATGTGTACGGCCTGGCATACCTACACTGGTCAGGATAGCCTTGTTCACCAACAACTTATCTTTGTCGTCCGCTCCCTCGTCGTTCATGTGCTCGTCCTCGTCACTCTTGTCCAGAACAAAGTCGTCGCGGTAGTGTACACGAACGGTATGGTCGAGGCCGAGGTCGAGGTCGAGGCCGAGGTCGAGGTCGAGGCCGATATTATGGGTACTGTCTCTAGTAGCGTCGAACCAACCCAGTGCGAGGCATTGACATTGATCCTCTTCTTCTTGGGTGATCACTATCGAGCTACCCATGTCTATCCTCGCGTAGCCGGGCTTGTGGAGGGTGTGCCTCAGGCGAACTTGGACGGGTGCGAAGTGGTCTTCATGGAACATTATCGCTGCTGTTTCGTTTGTCATTGGTATAATGATCGCTTCTTCGTAGGCGCGCATGGTCTTGTAGTCTTTCTTGTGTGTTGGCCAAGCCGTCTTCTGGCAATCCTCGGAGCAATAGTAGCTTCGCTGGCATCCGGCGCAGCGCAAAAGAGTTTGCTTCTTGTACTGCTCGCAAACTGCAGCGGCAGCCTTGTCTGAGATGTTGGAGTTCGCCATCGTGGAGTGTTGTAGATGCGAAGGGGTGCCCATGGCCGAAGCAAGCTATTGGCTTTATGAGAGGGTCATGGTCCAAGCGTCTACCGCTTTCACAGGTGAGTGTGAGTTTGAGTGTGACACGGTGAGACCAAGTGCAAGTGCAAGTACAGAGGCGAATTGTAGACAACTACTTTATGCGCTACATAATTCATTACACCACATCCAACATCTCACATAACCATCTGCTCGCTAGCAGGAAGACTAGCATAGCCACTGCCATATCCACCATACCAGTAGTTACCAATACCCTTCACACCAGCACTGGAGCGGTTTACAGGTGGCTGTGGCCACATATCCAACACGGCCTGCTCACCAGTGAGGGTAAAATTGACAGTAGCGAGCGCATTGTTATCAATCTGCAAGCTGTAATCACCCGGGTAGAGGACCTTGTTGCCATGCTCATCAACCCTGGCAAGAGAAGCGAGCGTAAGATTGAGTGTAGCAGTGCTTGTAGCGCCACCAGCAATGCTATGAAGGCGCTTGTAGGATACAAGGGTCTTCCTGGGGTGAGGTGCAGGTCCAAAAGTACCAGCCATGTAACCAAGAGTGATGTAGTCGGAAGTTACGTTGCCTGTGTTATGGACCTGGACGTTGACGGAAGCAAATGGGCATCGCTCAAGGAAACCTCCGGTACTATTGCATCCGGAGGCAAGGCTCGAGATGGCGTAGCTTTGCTGCATCTGTGTGGTGATCTCAGCAGAGAAGTTGGTGTAATGCATGCCGTAACCGAACTCGAAAGTCGCGCTGCCATTGTACCATTTGTAGGTACGGCCTGGGCTATTCTCTCCAGGACGCAAGTTCATGTTCATCATGGATACTGCGGCTGTGTAGTTGGCAGGGTATTGAGTCTGAGGAAGACGTCCAGCGGGAGCCGTCTTTCCGCCGATGATGTCGATGATGGCTGAACCACCATCTTGACCGGGGTATCCGGCCCACATGATAGCGGAGATGTTGGGGTTGTTGACCAGCGGCGAACTGTCAATCTGACCGCCTCCAGTGACCACGACGATGACTGGCTTCCCGGTGTCGGCGAGCTGACCGATGACATCAAGTTGAGCACCAGTCCATGTCAGGTAGCCTCGGTCTCGTCCTTCTTCTTCAACACTGTTATCTATACCGCCAACATAGATTAGAACATCACTAGTAGAGTAAGCACCGTACAGGTTGGACCATCGGTTGGTGGTGGGGTCGCCTTGGCCACCCGGGTTACCGCCAGCGTAATTGATCTTTACACCAGTTTGTTCAAGAGCGTAGAGAGGGCTGTGCAAGTACGTTGCAACACCGGCGTAGTTACCAAGGAGTTGGCTGGTGGCATTTGCCCAGTCACCAAAGAGTCCGACAGTGACCGACGAGTCAAGAGACAGCGGCAGTGTGCCGTCGTTCTTGAGAAGCACAATTCCCTCAGCAGCAGCCCTACGAGCAAGCGCCTGTGAAGCGTTAGTAGCTACCGCGTCAAATCCGAGCTGGCGGTATGGCTGGTTCTCGGATGCATCAAAGTAGCCCAATCGAACAAGTGACGAGTATTGACGGATAAGAGCCTGGTCGAGAGAACTTTCGTTCAGAAGCTTTTGCTGGAAGGCGGCGGGCAGATGCTCTTGCATATAGGTACCACAGGTGACATCCGTACCCGCGACGAGTGAGTCAGCAGCGGCACCTGCGCGAGTTGGTGACCACTGATGAGGCAAGTAAACGTTCTGAACAGCGTCACAATCACCTGTTACCCATTGCTCCTCGTTGGTCCAGCCCCAGTGCTCGCGAAGAATCGTCTGTAACAGATAGGGATCGGCACACGGTGGAGCGCCATTCACAGCATCTGTAGTCATGTTAGACAAGGCCATTTCGGAGTATTGAAGAGCTTGGATAGTGGCACTTACTGTAGGAGCACATGAAAGCCCCAACATTCGCCTGGACACAAGCCTGGAAGGGGGCCAGGTAGTATTCGACAAGCTCTTGCTGAGTAATTTGCACATCATTCTGGTAGCGGAGGTTTCCGTTCCAATCTTCGACGTCGTAACCAGCAAAATGCTTGCAAGTGGCAACAACACGCTTGTATGGGTCAGTCGACTCACCCTGAAGCCCATGGATGAGAGCTTGAACATAAGAAGACAGGTGGTATGCGTCTTCGCCGGGTGTCTCCTGGCCACGTCCCCAGCGGGGATCACGGAAGGGGTTAATGTTGGGGGTCCAGAAATCGAGACCTGTCCTATTCGCGTTATTGAACGCACGGGCTTCAGTCGAGATGACCTTTGCCACGTCGGTAATAAGGTCGTCGTCAAAAGCAGCTCCCATCAAGATGGGCTGGGGGAACGACGTCGAGTAGCTCCACTCTCCACTGTCACTGAAGTTGGTGTAAGGACCAGCAATGCCGTGAAGACCTTCGCTCCACCATTGATATGGTGGAACGCCGAGGCGAGGAACTCCAGGGGCGCCACTAGAAGTGGCATTGATCTTCTCCTCAAGAGTGTATAGAGCTACAAGAGACTGTGCGCGGGCCAGTGGTGCTAGCCATTTGTTAGTCGCGACGTGTATGTTGGTATATATATAGACGTACGAGCAGATGGATCGCAGATGGTTACATTCTTCAACGGACCATTGGTGCAGTCCGGGAACGTAAATTGTGCATATGCTCCGGTTGCAAAGAGCAACGCTGGCAACGAACGTCTCGATGTCAACATGATGCCGGTTCTCTGATTCAGAATGAGTTGGTGAGCACCTGTCAGCTCCGGATGCTGCTTGTATCGATAGCTTTGACTAGTTCTTATAGAAGACTTAATAGCCGTAGTCTACTCCAATCCCCGTCAAATCGTGATTGGTAAGAAACTCCACGATGTGTAGACGTCATTTTTATGTCGGCCACGCGGTTGTGCGTTCATGGCAGACCCACTCATTGTACCCCATCTGAGCTTCTCTTTGGTCCACAGTCATTCCCGATGGTTGAGGTGTTGAGCTTTAAGCAGCCAAGACAATAACGTGTCTGTGCGCGTGATGCCCATAATCGCGTGCCGCACACCCCGCAACATCAACACCAATCCACCCTTACCACTTCAACCACCCATAACTCCACAACTATGAGTTGTATCAACGCTGCGATTGAAGCTATTGAATCGCGTGATCCCGGAGATAAATTTACATACTCTGAGGTTGCGCGCCGCTTTGGTGTTGATCGCTCTACGTTGTCGCGACGCCATCAACAGATCCGGGGCTCAAATGAAGCCAAATCACGTAATCAGCAACTCCTTTACCTACACTAGGAGCTACAGCTTCTAGAGCACATTAATGAGCTTACTAAGGCTGGCTTACCACCGACGAGGACTATAATCTAGAACTTTGCTAGTGCTATAGCCGGAAGGGCTGCCTCCTAAAGCTAGGTGACGCGCTTCTTTCACCGTCATCCCGACGCGATTATATCACGTTGGTCAACTGGTTTGGACCGCAATCGCCACCAGGCTGATTCTGTATACAAGTACGAGTCGTACTTTGATCTACTATCTACTAAAATGGCTCAGCACTATATTCGGGCGCAGGATGTATATAATATAGATAAGAAGGGATTCCTTATTAGAGTAACGGGGAGGAGTAAGAGAGTGTTTAGTAAGCAGAAATATGAGACTGGGGGCTTTAAGAAAGTGATACAGGACGGCAACAGAGATTGGATCACTGTTATCGCTGCTATATGTGCTAATAGGAGTACGTTACCGCCCGCGATTATATACGAAGCTACTTCGGGCAACATGTACGCCAGATAGGTTGATGATATCGCAATTGACGATCTAGTCTACGTTACCTCAAGTCCCTCAGGGTGGACCAATGATTAGGTAGGCCTGGCATGGCTCGAACAGGTGTTTGATCGCCATACGAAGGAGAAGGCCGGCAATCACACACGCTTACTCATCCTTGACGGCTATGGGAGTCACGTTACTATGGAGTTTATTGACTACGCGATCGCCCACAATATTATGTTACTCGTACTACCCCCCCATAGTACCCATACGCTGCAGCCACTCGATGTGGTAATGTTCAAACCTCTAGCAGCCGCGTACTCACTCAGCTTGCAGCACTACCTCCAGGCGAGCCACGGTCTCTTAGCTGTGAGGAAGGATGACTTCTACCGTCTTTTTAAGCCTGCCTAGGACTCCTCTTTTATTAAGAAGCACGCGTTGAAGGCATTTAAAGCCACTGGGATAGCTCCTATAGATCCCGAAGTAGTACTTAAAAAGTTCCGAAAGTCAACACTAACAGCACCGCCGCCACTAGTGAACGTGAGTAGAGCTACTATCACGAACCTCATTAATCAGGCCTACGATCCGAGCTCTATTGCGGCCAACAACCTCTCAGAAATACTCCTCCGCCTCCAGGCTGCCAAAGAGATCGCCGAGTACGAGAAGGACGCACTGCGCGCGGCGCTACACGTTCACCAGAAGCCCCGCAATCGGCACGAACCTCCCCTAGATCTACAGCAGCGAAAAGCGTTCTATTCAGGGGCAGTTTAGTGGTCGCCGTGCAAGCTTCGAGAGGCCCGCTTTAGGCAGCTAGTGAAGGAGAAGGAGAAGGAGAAAGAGCTACTTGATAAGATAGAGTTGAAAGAGGCAAAGGAGAACAACAGGATCTATCAACTTAAGATCAAAGAGGCAGCGCGGGCGGCGCGTGAGGAGGCAAAGAAGGTGCGGGATGAAGCCAAGGCTGTAAAGGCTGCCGAACTTGACGCCAAACGACGCGATCGCGACGCTGCAAAGGCTATACAACAACCCTAGTCGGGCAAGCGTAAGGCTTCAAAGCCCGCTGCAAAGCAACAGCCAAAAAAACGACGCGTGGGTGGTGCTGGCGGTGGTACTCTGGCTGAGGTGGCTGCACCGGCTCCCCCACCAACAACCACCCGACGCGGCCGGGCCGTCAATACTCCGGCAAAATATAGATAGACAAAGTTGTAGAGCTACGTCTATAGATCAATACACCGGAAAATCTCGCGATAATAGTTATTGTACGTGGCTGCGCAGCCTCAACTTTGCCGTCGTCGCGATATTGGTGGGGTGTGCGGCACGCGATTATGGGCATCACGCGCACAGACACGTTACCCGAGCCGCGTGCGGAGCCCCATGCTGTCTGCCCGCTCCTGTGAGGGGGATGCGCTATGTGGGTTTCAGTCACTTCCGATTGGCGCGTTATTCAGGCTGAATGTTGATCGGAAACTGTAAGTAGCAAATCGGATGAGTGGGACGTCGAATGGTACGGTAAGCGGCGTCTATTGCCTGCGATGCGCATCGAAAAACATTGCAAACGAGGAAATTCTACGACTTCGCGACTGAGCGTCATAGGCCAACGTAAGCATTGGGCGCCGAAGAGTGGTTGCGGGATGTGAGCGGATGGAAATACCGGTAGCCTAGTGCTAGTAAGCACGGCGTCCTGTACCTATTAACTATATCACGCATCGAGACACTTTCCGTGTTCATCGCATTCACGGTATGCAAGTTGCCTTGATAGTTTCGTTACTGAAACTTTCCTTTTTGTATCATCTTTGTATTTGAATCATCTAATCCAAGATTTAGACAGTTTGCGGATCATCGAATATCTAGATTCTATTGGTAGTAGCCTTCGGCAGCGTAGAGCTCCTTCATGATGGCCAATTAGACTTCTTGACTGTCATCGGCATGCCGTCTCGTGGCCTAGCCTCGAAGACGAATTCTTGATATGCTCGATCCCCAAAGATCAAATCAAGATCAGTCCACTCAGTCCTCGGTGTCTTGTTTGGTTTCAACCCTGAGCAGGAGAAGTCAAAATCTCTCGTGATGAGCAAGAAGATAATCAAAAGCTCGTCCATTGCCAGCGGTTGTCCCAAGCATGCACGTGGGCCTCTTTCGAAAGGACGCCATGCATGTCGAGGGAAATCTTCGCGTTCGAAACGGTCTGGATCGAACTTCGTGGGGTCTGTTTCTGCAAGTCAGGGACCGGGTTGGGCATTCAGAAAGAGTTTCCTGGGCATCAATTTACCTGAAAAGAGTTCGGGGTTCATGTGCATATGCAACTGGACTGGGCAGACCATTTGATCTTTTGTCGGCCATTCAACGCCATTGTAAGGGATAGTATCGATTCCTGCACGCGCAGTGTTGCCGATTGGGAAAATCCTGAGGACTTCTTTGATCACATTCTTCGTGTAAGTAAGTTGGTGGAGTCTCTGCGATTCCACTTTCAGCATCTCGCATGTTGCTTCAATACCCTGAGTAAAAACACGGTCGTGCTCTTCCCGCATTTTTCGGACCACGTCAGGATTGGCGGTGAGCAGCATGAAAGCAAAGCAGATAGTGTCGGATGTCGTGCCGGTGCCAGCAAAGAGTAGTGTCTTAAAATGCGACAAAGCATCTTGCAAGAACATGGGGTCAAGTTCCGTTGCACCACTTTGTACGTAGTCTCTCAAAATGAGATCCATGATACCGAGTCCGCGCTTATCCGAGAGATCGAGATTTTCACCTGAATAACACACCCGTTAATTGTATGCCTTGAAGGGACCGTTCTCGGCGGGGAGGTCGAGATACCGCCAGTAGAGCAATACCAATACATAGGTACCGAAGGATCGGCTGGATCTGGTGTTGTGTGTAGATGGACTTTCACTTACGTTTCACAAGTTCAAATCTTTCCCTAATAAGCTTGACCAAGACTTTGTCGAGCTTATTCCTCTCTGCGTCGCGCCTTCTGTTGATAAAAAAGTTGCGGACAAAGTTCCAGGAGTCTCTTGACTCGATTGCTATGTGACACATATCCTCAAAGTGCGTCAAAGCATCGTTGCCTTTGGTCTGAGCGTCAAGTGAGTAGCCCAAGGTTGTTGTGAAAATGATATCGAATGTCATGTTCATGCAATGTTCTTCGAGCTTGAACACCTCCCCGGTTTTAGCTTTCTGGTGAAGGATCGCTCTAAATTTCATGACTTCATCAGCGACCATTGGCCTCAAATTTGTGACATGCGAAATGGAGAAAGCAGGGCTGAGCATCTTGTGTAGTTCTCTCCAGCGCTGTCCATTTGAACCGACAATGTTGGCGTCCCCGATCAGAGGTTCTGTCGCTAGAGTCTCCGCTATATGCTTTGGATGATTCCGAACAGCTGTCATGTGGAGAGCGCAGTCAGGGTCTGTTACGACAACCTGTCCCCAGGAAATTGGCCATATGTCGAGATAGAAGACTCCTGGCATGTTGTACTTGTTCGCTATAGAGGTCACCGCTGCATGATAATGGCTATTGCTCGGAAGCGCCGCGTAAGCTTCACCAAGTATCTTCAAGTGACCGAATAGGAAGCTGTGAGGCGGCTTGGGCTTTCACGGCTGTCAGTTCGTGTAGCAGGTAACATCGTTGGTCAACATACGAGGTCTTTGTAGAACCGTCGGACTTGTATCATTTTTATGAGCCCATACGCGAGCGCCGCAACGACGCCCGACAAGGCGATCGACACCCATGGTAGGTCTAAAAGAGCCATTATGAAAACAACAATTTGGTGACAGTGAAAGCTATGGGGGGTTGGTGGTTTTGAGGTTCTTCGTTTAGCAAGCCCCCGATGCGTCTTGGTAGATCAGCGCTAGTGGGCTAGGTAATTAGCGAGGTAGTTATCCGGTCACATCCGGGCCCAATTTGGAACAGAAGCGTCTCTTTCCCGTCTTCCGTACGGAGGTGGCTTTCAAAAGTTCTTGCCGACAGGGGTGTCTTGATTACTACCGAAGTACTACCGAAATATAGACAGGGCTGTCTCAACGCTCTCTTGGCAGACCTCTGCCTTCCTTATACTCATTGCCACCATCAAGTTCAATAATCTTTTGAACGTGTATAGGTATCCTCTCTATCCAAGCTTGTATTTGTTGCTGTGGTAGAGCTGTCCACGCATCCTCCTATACTTTTGTTGCCTCTGCTCTATTCTTAGGAGCTCCTTTCTTAGTTGTTCTTCTCTTTAACCATGGCCATGCTTGCTCAATAGCGTTAAGATTAGGGGAGTTGCCACACCAAATAAGTTTCTCTACGCCTTCTCGTTGATATACAAGACGCTGAATATAGTGGGTATGAGAGGGGGCCTTATCTTCTTGTACAACAGTACCTGGTCTCTCTTTTAAACACTCCTTTGCAAAGGGCAGAAGCTTTGGGATAAGAACTCGATTTTGATAACGCCACCAATCAATGCCTCCTTTGTCATTACCACGAGTAAGCTTTCCAGTATCTTTTGTCCATCTCCATTGAGGTTCTCTCCCAGGCTTATTTCTTAAGCCTAGTCTCTTCATGCCTGTTGAGAGCTCCCACTCTTCTTTCATAATAGGCTCTAGAATCTTATTCATCTCTTCAATCTTAAGAGCTGCTTCTTTCTTCTCCTTAGCAGTCTCAGGCCTCCAGACGTGCAAGGGGCCTTTATAGTTATATGAAAAGCAGCCCCAAAACATAAACTCTGAGTAGCCTTTCCACCTCTCTCGGATAACAGATTTAATAAAGGCCTCATCTGTTTTCCTCCACACGCGATAGCTACCACGGCGGTGATTAAGAAGGACTGAGGTCTCATCTGACCAGATTACATCCTTCCAATTCTCAAGTGTCCAGTCCTTATGAGCAAGACACCAGTTAAGTCTCTCCTGTCTCATCTTCTTCGTCAACCCAGGCTTCCTCGTTGGCTTGGTCTTGTTGTACCCTGCTGCTTTGAGGACTCTCCACACTGTTGTAGATGAAACGTTGTGACCGTGAAGACTAAGATCACCAGCTATGTCAGCACAGCTCTTCTCTCTTCCATATCTATCACGGCGTACTCTCTCAATAGCAGCCTCTTGTATAGTCTCTTGCTTGCGTGGACGGCCTGTACGTGGAGCCTCTTCAAGGTACTCAGGGAGGAGTTTTATCGTTGGCGCATTTGGCTCAAAGCCTCGCTGGCAGGCTCTAGCATAGATAGCATTAATCGTGCGTGGAGGAATGCCGGTGATATCGCTGATGTGACTCGTTGATTTGCCACCAAAGGGGGACTTTAAAGTGACAATCAAGGCGCGTGTAGAGAGATCTGTATTAGGAGCCATCGGTATAGAACTAAAACACCTAGAAAACGCGTATACTAATATTTGCGCAGCTTCATAAAATCTCTGATTTGTGCCAAGAGACAGTCCAGCTTGGACCAAGGGTGTCGGGCCGATACAATCCGCGCTAGCAAGAACTTTTGAAAGCCACCTCCGTAGACAGCAGGCTACATACACACTTGGGGACCTTGTGTGCGACAAGGTGGTTGATCAATTTTTCTGCATAAACGGTGGTACGCCATTGTCCTAATTATTGAAGGTTGCCTAGGCAGTCTGAAAATATGGTTGATGGAAAAAGTGCCGTGTCGCAATCATCAGCCAGAATGCTAGACACCTATTCATCATCTGGTAGCAGTACATACATCTAGCTGTATACTTGGTCAAAGCTCGCAGAGTCTAAACTCAACATATACACGATCCGCCCTATGGTATCTCATCATATGGAATCTTCTCCTTGGCCGCCGCCTTCATCTTGTCATCCAGTAGCGACATTAGCACCTGATCTGTGCCGTTCTTCATCCACAACGCGTCGTGCGCAAGCGCCGTGTGAACCCCAACGTCCTTCTCTAACCTTCTTATCTTGGCCATTGTTTCTTTTGCAGTAGCCATGTCTGTATGTAAAGACACGCACTCTGTACCAGGACCCGGGAATTCAGCGATCTCCTGCTTTTCATCAAGCAAGTCCCTGGCAGGTCAGCACAGACAAAGAATCAATAGCATAATCGTACCTCGAGTGACAGCCTAGCATGGAGAAGGCACAGTTAGCGAATACACACCAAATTTTACCGAGATACCACGTACAGTCGCTGCCGAGTAAGACCCACTCGCCGCACTGCAGCCTAGCAGCAGCAGCAAGGTTACCTGCCATGTGTCCTGGCGCATCAAGAACCCAGAAGCTGCCATCGCCAAAATAGTCCAGCGCCTTTTCAAACGAGCCGAAAGGTTTCCAATGGCCCTGCAGCTCGTCCCAGTCTTCTGTGGAATCCTCGGGGTCGAAAAAGCGGCCATCCCACTGCGAATTTGCGTCTTTCATATGTCCGGGCTCGCAGGCTGCTCTTGTCCCTGGACCAAAATATGCTCTTGCGTTGGGAAACACATCGCTGATAGGTCGTGAATGATCGAAATGCGCGTGGCTGTTCACTATTTAGGCATTGCGTGGGAAGGTCGTTGTACTTGCGTACCTAAACAAAACCGTGTCTATATCTCGTGCCGAGATACCTCGCTCCGACAATTGCTGTACTATAGTTCTGCTTGGCCCGACATGATTGATATTGTCGAGAAAGAGTTTATCTACCAACGGTGTATAGTAACTTCGGTCCTAAGGAGATTGCATAAGAATGAAGCCAGAACTTTAAATCCCAAAACATGGGCGTACCTGGTCAAGTCCGAGATCCCAGAGTACATGCCGGCCCTGGTGAGAAATGTAGAAAGCCCAGTTGTACATGCGAAAGGTGCCAGTTTGGCCGGCATGCATTCGACTTAGGTCGGCGACAAAACTGCCGCCATCGAGCAGTGAGAGCTGAACAAAAGCATCTGTATGCGGCAGCTCAAGCTTTGCTGTAGACATTTCCAGTATAAAGTCTTGGTACGTGTCGAGAAATGAAGTACCAATGTACCTTATTACATCCCACCCTAATTGCCGAGACATGACGCACATGGATTCCACATGCAGTAGACAGCAAGCATTCCTAGGCCAAACCTGTGAGATTTGAAAAATCTAGGCTTGATACGTCGGCCAAAAGATGCCTGCTATCGCCCCACAGCATCCATATAGTTACTGAACGTGCTGGGCAGGTAGGTACGAGTGCGGGGTAAACATTTTACCCCGCGGAGCTCTTACACCCACCCCGACTGGATCCGACCATACTACTTCCTAGCTATCTTTGCGCAGATCTTCAGCCTAAGGAATTTTGCATCAGTAAATTCAATTTGCCATTATCGCTCCGTCTTCTAGAGTGCGATTCAAAGAGTATGTCGGTCACTCTCAACCACGCCCACCTAGGCGAACTGAAGGGCAAAGCCGTAGACAGCGCAGTGCAATTTCTGGGTTTGAAGTATGCATCGCTGAAAGATCGCTTCGCGCCAGCCCAGCTCGTGGATAGCTACGAAGCAGGGAGTACAGATGCTACTAAATTTGGGTTGGTTACACAACCCCAATTCTTTGCGATAGCTGACACAAGATAGGCCTCCTCCATCATCGCCAATTGGAGCCATTAATAACGAATATGGCTTTCTCCAGAAGTCTCTCCCACTTCCAGAAGTCCCAGCACATTCTGATCTCGAAGGACTCAATCTGAACATCACCGTTCCTACGAACACGGATGGCGGAATCGATCCGAATGCGAAATTGCCCGTCTACGTTTTCATACATGGAGGCGGATTTGCAGTCGGAAGTAGCTGGTATACCCACTATGACCCAGCTCCGCTTGTGAGGATGTCCGTTGAGAAAAAAAAGCCCATGATAGGCATTACAATCAAGTGAGTGATACAAAAGCATGTATGGTAATATCATACTTACTGAAATCATCAGCTATCGGCTTGGTGCTACTGGATTTCTAACATCGAAAGAGCTTCGAGAAGCAGGCTACCAACCAAACAACGGTCTTCGCGACCAGCGTACAGCACTGCGGTGGATCAGGAAATTTATCAGCGGCTTTGGTGGTGATCCAGATGAAATCACAGCATGTGGAGAAAGTGCCGGCGGCTGTAAGTGCCCCAAACATCGAAATTTGTACATCCAGCTGACCTGAACAGTGGCAGTAATGCTACTCCTCTGTTCTGAAGAGCCACTAATGAAACGAGGCCTTAGCACAGGAGGGACGATACTTCTCATGAAACTTATCCCAGATTCTATGACCGAGGCAGCCTATCAGCAAGTTGTCGAAGCGCTTGGTCTTGCAGACAAGTCACCAGAAGATCATATCAAAGCCCTTCTTAGTGTACCGGTTGACGACTTGTGGCAAAAGGTACCCATGAGCGCACCTATGCAGCCCTCAATCGACGGTGACATCGTCCCTGGCTCACCTGACTTCCTCACTGTTTCCTCTCAAAAGGAAAGCTCAGTCTTCAAGATGCCGGGTCGCAAGTGGTGCAAGGCTTTTATGATCGGGGATTCTAAACTAGATGTAAGCTTGCGCAGTAGATGTAGTTAAGTAAGCTAACTCTTTCTAGGGCAGTATCTTCGCATACTTGATATTTGATGCGCAAAAGGCCGGCATCGCGCAGAAGTTTATCGACTCCTGTTATACCACACTCTCATCTAAGCCTGAAGTTGCCGAAAAGCTCCTCACTGCATACAATATCACTCCTTCGACACCCGATGACGAGGCGATGCTATCTATTCTCCGGTTCTGTTCCGAGATCTGTTTCTATGCCCCTGCCCGTGCCTTTGCCCAAGGATGGCCTAATACCCCTGAATCAAAGTTCTTCCTATACCACTTCAATGAAGGCATACCGTGGGAAGGCCGCTTTCAGCATGAAGCAGGCCATATTCTCGACGTGGCCTATCTGTTTCAAAACTTCAATGAGCATCTTGGAGATGCGCAGGAGAAGGTGGCGAGGGCGTACGCGGAAGACTTTATCAATTTTGTCAATGGTCAGGATCCGTGGCCACCAGTCCAAGAGGGTAAATTGGGCGCCAGGGTTTATGGGCCAAGTTCTGAGGGAGTCACGTCGAGGTGGGTTGCAGATGGTGAACCGGCAAAGATTGGGAGGGAAGATAGAGTATTTAAACTTGGGGAGGAGTTCGGTTTCGATACTATTCTCGACGTGGCCCAGAAATTCCATCAGGGCAAGTAAAGGTATGGAGTTGCTCCATGAGCGCCGCTAGCACTAGTATGTATGTATCATTATCGTATCCTAAAGGCTTGGTTCATAGCACCTCAGAGCTGTCTCTGTATTTTCGCTAGACAATCCATATACTTCTAGATGGTTGACAAGAATCAGCACTACATATGGCTCTAGATTCTACAGCTGCGCCCACCATCCCCACTCTAACCCTTCCTAAGCACTGCCACCCTCAATAGCACTCAACTTCATGTACGCCGGCCCGGGCACATCCTCGCTGATATCACCTGTAGCACTCCAGTGTTTCCAAACCAACTTCCTCTGCTCAATCTCATCTGCAATGGCGATCGCCATATCCGCCACACTAATCCCAGTCAACCTTCCCTCGAAAATATCCTCTCCCTCTTTCTGCTCCCCCTCCAACACCATATCATCAACACTAATCCTATACTCGCCCGTCCTCTTCCCCGGCCGATACAACGCGGACGGCGAAACAAAACTCCACTTGAAACTCTCATTCCCATCGAAAAACAGATATGCCGTCCTTCCCGCCTTAATGAAATCAGACGCATTGTCTTTGACACGAATCTGCTTTTCGTACTCGGTTATCACGTCTTGATCGGCTTGTGTAGCGGTGCCTGCAGAGGCGGCCAAGCGAGCGTCGCGGTAGCGTCGGAGAGTCGTGCCCATTATACCTAGGCGCTCTTCCATGTATGCAATGTGTGCGAGCGAGGTAGAGATTGCGCGGCGGTAGGCGACGAAGAAGTCAGGGTGGTCGACGCATGCGTCAGCAGTGCCGGGGACGTGGAGGGAGCCTGCGCCGCCGACGAAGAGGAAGTACGAGACTGAGGAGCGTTTGTAGGCTAGAATTATTTTGCGCACGGATTCGAGGAAGGGCACTGAAGAGGAGGGTTTTAGGGCCTTTCTATCGATTTGGGCGAATACGGGTCAAGAGTAGGGAGATGGAAGATACGTACTGTAAAGCAATGCGCCTGCACCAGCCGTGTGCGGTCCAAATTCGCTCACAAGGACATCCAGGTCCCCGAACTTGGTCGCCAACTCCCTAATTGAAACTTCATCAATATCAACGGATCTTGGAATATACCGCTCGTGCTTCCCCAGCTTCTCAGGGTTGCGTGATATCCCGATCACAGTGTGTCCGCGATTTAACAGCTCTACGCTAAGATACGAGCCGCCGAAACCTGCGGCACCGATGATGCCTACGCGCAGTGGCTTAGAAGACATGGTGGGAAATTATCCTAGCAGGTTGATGAATATGTATTTGCCCAAGCTTTTGTAATAGAGGTACTTTGATATTCAAGTTGACCTACTTTATTTTACACGAAGATAATAAACGTCGACATGTACCAATACACAAAGAGCAAAGATACGGCACGGGAATGAGATATTACGAACTTACTTGACGGGTACAAGAGCTCCTAAAGAGATAGAAAAAAAATTTTACACTGAAGTAGGAAGTCTGAATCAAAAGCGAGTCAAAAGTTCACCCGCACTCAAGGCAATTGATCATCTCTGGGTCCATTAGACTAATGACTCGTGATCCCCTCTTGCATCACGTCACATTGATGAATTGGCAGCCGGTAGCATAGCACCGAGCATCGTGTAGTTGGGGTAGCACAGAACTATGGGGACGTGAGGGGAACAATGTGGGGCAATGTCCAGCAGATTTTAGGTACAACAAACTTCACGCTAACTAGATCGGTACCTTTGTGGAACATCATAGGGTGCAAGAGGTACCTGAACTCTGTAGATGATATCGCAAACTCTACGAATTTGAGAGAAAGACAACGCCTTCAAATTACGACTTTAGACAAGCACACAGTTTAGTAGGGCAGGGACAATGTCGGAAAACTATGCATTCATAGGTTAGAACATGCCAATTTCTTCTACCCAAACCTGCCGTGGTATAGTAGTAGACATCTTTCTAAAACCATGATCAAAAAAAAGAGTACAAGCAACTATGCTAACTCTCTCTCCCAGGCCTCGGAGCAATGGGCTACGCAATGGCCTCCAATCTCCGCCAGAAGCTGCCCCCAACAAGCACCCTTTACATCAACGACATCAACGCCTCAGCCCTAACCCGCTTTATCAAAGAATACTTCTCCTACGGTCCCATAATCCCTGTCTCCACAGCCCGCGAAGCCGCCGCCCATTCCAAAGTTGTCGTCTCCATCGTCCCCGGCGCCCAAGACGTAAAGGCCGTGTACCTAGACGAACAGAACGGCGTCATAGCAGCGGGCAAGGACGAAGAAAGGATATTACTCGAGTGCAGCACGATAGATGTAGAGAGTACAAAGGAAGTAGGACGGAGACTTCGTGGAATGGGCGTTTACATCGATGCGCCTGTTTCGGGAGGTGTGCCGGCGGCTGAAGCAGGGACGTTGGCGATGCTGATCGGATATCCGCCCCCAGCAACATCGTCGTCTGGGAGATCAGAGAACCATATATCAAAGCGCTTGACAGACGTGCTAGGGATGATGGGCTCACCGGAAAAGTTCTTCTATCTGCACACTCTAGGCGCGGGCTTGACGGCCAAGATATGCAATAACTACCTCTCCGGCACTATCTTACTGGCGACTGCTGAAGCTATGGCCACGGGTGTAGCGCATGGTCTTGACCCAAGTGATTTGTATCAAGTTATCAAGAATAGCACTGGACAGAGCTGGATGTGCGACCACGTTATGCCTGTGCCGAACGTACAGAAAGAATACTGGGTACCGAGTAATAGCGGGTATAAACCGGGATTCAAAACGCAAATGATGCTAAAGGATCTTGGGTTGGGGATTGAGAGTGCGAAGCAGGTTAGCGTGGAACCCAGTATGGCGGCTAAAGCGTTGGAGGTCTGGGAGAGGGCGGCAAAGGATGAGAGGTGTATAGATAGAGATGGGAGTAGCATTTACCTGCACCTCGGGGGTCAATTGCCGGAGGGTTATGAGGATAAAGGGAAGAAAAGCGAGAAGGGAACTTGGGTGTTTGCTGACTGAGCTGTAATTATACATTTGTAGGTAATCGTGACGCTTTTGTTGATATATGGCCGTGTCGAGCTCAGACGGCATGTCGTAGTAATAATGCTCCAGAAAATGCAGTCAACCCTCGCTTGATTTGCAAAAACGCCCTCTTATGCTCTTTGCTCAACCCTTGACTTACCGATGAGGGTATAGTAGGCGCGAAAGCATCATCCTCTTCCCCACAGGCCTTTCAATTGAGTGAGTGAAAGGCACTGTTGAGAAGAGGATTGCAACCGTCACCGCTGCAGACCCCCATCGTCCATATCGCCGTCACCATCTCGCTCTTCGTCACCATCATCATGCCCGTCATAGTCTGTGAGATCATCGCTCATGATATGCAATATCTGACTGAACGTCCTACTCTTCCATCGACCCATACCTTCCATCAGATCCGCACAATGTAACAATGTGCGACGTGCTGCAAGATATCCACCATCAAGCGTAACACCAGTGATCGAGAAGGGTCCACCGTGCCTAATGAATTTGACAACCAGAGATGCATCGCCAAAGGGTACTGGTGATTGCGGGGTATCAATGAATCCAAGCCGGCCGATTGACATCCAATCAACAAGATCCAGGAGCTCAAGGCAGTTGTCATTCATGGAACCATTCTGTATTGGTGGAACCGTGAAGATGTATAGACCGAGTACCAACGCTGCGCGGAATAGCGAGACCACGCTATGAGGATTGACAATGTCGCTCACTTTGCGATCAAAGAGGAGCTTGTATATGTGCGCTGCATGCAACACTGAGCGTCGTGCCGAGGGTGTTTGCGACCAGGCAGATATATCTTCCAGTGCGTTGACGGCTGGTTCAGGACCAGAGCGTCCGGCTGCGAGCTCGAAATAGCGGATGTTCGCCCCAAGAACCATGCATGATGCGTGCCACAAAACGGCGGAGTTCAGGTCGGCAGTACGGAGTGCGTCGACAGATGAGCTGGACAGGTTAACTAGTAATGGCAGGATGTCCCGGCTGCGAGGATCTTCCATATAAATACGCCAGGGTTCGAGCTGCTTTTGGTTGCTCGTCGCGGGAGCCAGCCTGTCGTTACTCTCGTAAATACGTAGCAATAGTAGCGTCAGAAGCGACCGAAAACTACTCGCATCGAGCTTCAGCCCAGGAGTAGGGTGGAATGAGGGCGTTATCCGGTTTGCTTGAATGCGGGCACCACGCTGAACAAGACGAAACCATTTCGCTGCGCTGTTGACGTGGTAGAGTGCGTAATCGGATGGAGGCAGCATCTGAACTGTTTCGGGGCGGATCATCGGGCATGCCGAGAGATAGCTTGCCCACCAGCAATCTGCTTCTATGAGACCGAAGATTACACGTTTCGTGCATTCGATTTTCGACCAGGCTTTCCATTTCGCATCGATATCAATCGTTTCATCCAAGAGTGGATCGATCTTCACGCCTTCGTTCGCGGAGAAGAGGCCCTGACTTTGTGCAAACTATCAGAGTTAGAATTGTCCAGAGAAATATGTGCCATGCGGCTACTTACCCCTATAAGCTCTCCATACATCTTTTCTGCTTGAGCAATACGGCTCTTTCGCTGTATCGGAGTTAACGCAGGCCCCAATCATTTTGGTCATACGACTCACGCCTGTGATTGATGCCAGATTCAGAGCTAGTAGACTGGTAGCAATGATGCACATTTGTCGATGCGGTGGGTGGTCTGTTGTTTGTAACGTATGTAGTTCCGTAGTTGCAAGTTGCAATACAGCCTGCATCATAGGTGAGCATGCGAACGCCGAGAAACATGAGAGCACTAACTGGGAACGTCCTCGTCACAAATTTCGCTGCGCCTGCTGTCCCAAGAATGCTGAGCCCTATGAGGCACATACAAAGCAGCAGTGGTCGTGGAGCGTTTCTTGCCGAGAAAGTCGGGATATGGATGATCGGGAGTGTAGGGTGGAAATAGTAGAGATACATCTCCAAGGCGATGTCCAATATCTCGGCAGGTGGGAACTGAACGCTTTCAACGCTCGGACTTGCTGCAGCATCGCCGCTGGATGATGCAGTGTCCCCGTACGACTCGGACCGCGATTGGTTGGGCAGCGGCATATTGTCCATGGCACTCTGCAGTCTGCTCCTGCACTCTTCATCAAGACCCCAACGCGAATTTCTCCGTTCTCTTTCGCTCATAGGCGTCTCTACAGCCCCAGCACCAACTTCGGAGAGTATGTTGGAGCACTCGCTTGCTATGAGGCTCTGCCACAGGTCCGGCATCAAGCGCGAAGATCTTCTACTCCGAGAAGGCCAACAACTTTGCACCCTCTGGAATCGCTCACGTGGGACTCTACTCGCAATTGATACGCTACTACCAGAGGGGCTTGGTTCGTTTCCCGGTATCGGCCTAAAGGTTTCGGGGTCGAAGAAACCATCCACACCGAGATGATGCGATCCATGAGGAGTTTGCATATCGGCCTCGAGTGGGAAGAGCCATGTTTGTAGAGCATCGGCCGGGGTTCGGTTAGGAACTGGATTGTTGCTCTGCACAAGTTCAAAAGCCCACTGGTCCAAGCTTGATACGTGCGCTGCGGGCGAAAATGTCAGGGCTTCCATTGCTGGGTCAATCGGCGGACCCATACTCTCATGTGGATTACGATTCGACATCTGGGTGTTATCAGGGCGCGCCATTATCATAGGCGATGGCGATCGCCATGGTGTATCAGTTCCAGGCTCGAGGTGTTGCGCGGCATTGATGAGCGCTTCTATGCGGTCCTCACCGGGTGACGGCGGCTGTAGCCGCGACGAAGTTTGTCGCGTGTGTAAAGGAGGAGAAAGATGAGTGTTGTACTGATTGCCATTCACCTGTAACACTTGCGAATCCCTCCTCTGGACCATGGGCGAAAAAGCATGTTCTTCGCGAATTACTGGTGTCGGTCCAGGAGTCGGCCCGTTTCCGTTTCGTGGTGCTGACGGTCGCGTTGTTTGGCTCTCATCCAACGAGTTGTGACGAAAATCCTGCTGGTCCGGTGAGGTTTGCTGTTCGTTGCTTTTCATCCGGTTCATCGCATTCTGCGCGTGTCCTTTGCAGTGTCGGAATAAAACATCGCTGTTCGGATACGTTGGACGCTAGTACTTTTCTTTTTCTGAAAGGGGTCCTTACCTGCGAGAGAAGTGCTTCTTGCATGTCGGGCACTCGTAAGGGCGTTCTCTTGTGTCTGATGAGACGGTAAGCTCGATGAAAGATGTGTACCATTTGATGCGGACGTACGGGACCGTTCGTGCCGCTTCACGTGCTCTACTGTGCTAAAAGTCAACGCAAATTCGTCTCCCATGAAAGAACAACATACATTTAGTAAAGGTGCGATCGCACATGCTACATTGCTTCAACGCCATGTTGTCGTCGTAAGGCGTCAACGGAGGTGAGTGATCGGACCTTCGCAGGCTGGTGTCTGCAGGCGCTCTCTAGGTTGCCAAGCCATGCTGGACTGCGGGGGAAGGCGTGAACCATGACTCGGCTTTATCACCTGAGTATAGGCTCATCTCGACTTCATCTACAAAACGCATATAGACATGCAATCCTACTGCAACAAATTGCATATTCAAACCCTTTATGTCTCCAGGTCATACAGCTGATCTGCACTTTGGTCATACAATCATGACTTAGAGTCCCCCGATCCCATCAAACTCTTCGCGATGCAAGCAGCATGAAAAACGACATCACCAACGAAGACCACGAGGCGCACTGTGTCTCAATCAACACTTCGATTGTTAAAAGGAATGGTTTGAGTGGCTGAAGAAGACGCCTCATAATCCCAAATCTTCTGGAAGAGTTGCCCTTCAAGCCAGGATTGACTTGCATGTGGGACCATAAGCGTACGCTAGTGGGGCCTCCCCTGACTGTGGGATCACCGACTGTCTCGATTCAGCTACAAGCTTGACTTGATCGGGTCCGTGAGTCCAGTTGATTGCTTTTTTTGACACTGGTAACTATCTTATATCCCGTTGATCTTCCGCTAGAAAACCTTGACTGGAGATCATTCTCTAATTGCCATTAATCTGTCAAGTCAGGCATCACCAAGGATATGACAACCTAGCAGTATAGCATACCTTCAGCCGGCTTGCCAGTGGCAGAACAGACATTGTGGTAGATGAGGTGAGTATCATAAAGGAAGGTCACGTTAACTTCGCCAAAGCATCCAGCACCGCCGAATACACCACCAACAGCACACCTCCGCCAGGCCCAAACCTCAATATCTTAGCAACGTACCCCTTATACAGCGCCCGAAACCCCTCTTCCCTAGCCACGACGCCCAAACTAGGCCACGCCCAAGCATACTTCTGTCTGACCCCTGGCGTCTTCGCCACGCTCTGTATACGACTCTTGACTACATCAAGCGGCGTGTTGAACGTCGTACCCACCACACCACCCACAAACCCTGCTATAAGATCATTGCCCATCTTCTGCCTCGTAGGATTTGAACTAGTTGCTGGAGCAGATAGCTGGGCGCGCACCTGGAAGATGCAACCAAAGTAGCCTGCGTTCCATACTATATGCCGCCACAGTGTGGCTTCAAACCCGTTGTAGAGTGCCAGCGGACCTTCTTGACGGACCACTTTGACCGAGCAGTCTAGTAGTCCTGTATAGCGTGACGCTGATGTTTTATCCTGGAGTCGGATCTTGAGCAGTTCGAAGGGTACAACGACGAGGGATTCAGTGGCGCCGGCGCTGGCGCCCGTGAGGATTGCGAGGGGTTGGGTGAGTGTCGGGGTGGAGAAGAGGTTTTGGTAGAAGGGTGTAAGGGAGTCGTTTGCGGAGAACTTGATGGCGCTGTCGAATAGGTATCTTAATACATCTCTCAAACCCCGAAGTAGATATGTGTTCTTACCGTTTTGGTACCTCCATCAATATAGGCGCAGTTATTCCCCGATACAGCCTCGAAACACCTTCATTCTTCATAATCTTTCTGAAAGCATCCAATACCCCATTATACCCCTGTCCATCAACCACCGTCCCATGCTGTAATTGAATGCGCGTTTTGACTACATCAAGCGGGTACCTTTCTACATTCTCAGCAACTTGCACTCTCCAAACAGAATTTCAAGGGATAAAAAAGCTATATTTTCTCACATCACCAGTATCTCTGATATACCCGCAACCGCCCCAGCAGCAAATTGGTACCGGAATGGCAATGTCTTTCCATCCTTTGTCGTCATTGCTTCAAGCACTTCGTGAATCTTCACATCAGTTTCGGAAGTAATGCAAGTCCGATGGCCGTGATGATGCTCACCCTACTCATACCCAACTCATCTACCTAGGCAGGCATATCCCACTACCACCAACACCACCATCGCGCATCCCCACCCATCGCACACCACATGCTCCATCCCTCCCATCTCCCAAATGCCCATCCCATTCATCCCATCCACTATGCAACTCGCCAAGTCCAAACATCCACGCTCAGAACATCAGTGGGGCGCATCGTGGCTTATGTGGGGCTAGCGGCGCAGCAGACAGACCGGTGAGGCGAAACGTGCGGTGGGGCACAGCAAAATACGAACACGGGGTCACGTGAGTTGGCAGCCGCAAATATCCGAGCAGCGGAGTCCGAGCAGAGAGGAGTGGAGTTGGCGTCTGGCACGGACATGAGACTTGCATCATCGGGCCGGCTTGGCAAAAATATTACCCGAGAAGGTTTGGAAGCGGAAGGGGTGGTGTGCTGGGTCACGTGATGGCGTGTTTGGGGGGCATGGGAGGGGAGGTGAGATGAGGGCGGTGGTGTGGGAAGTTTGGGTATGAAGGATGGGTGTTGTTGGAATTAAAGTATTGTCCTGAATATGTGATACAAATTTGTACAATAAGATATCTCATGCAACGACCTTTCCCTCCCTCAACTCCTTAATCTCATCCTCCCCATACCCCAGCACCTCTCTCAGAATCTCATCAGTATGCTGTCCTAACAACGGCGGCGGGCTCCTAATCTTCGGTTCCGCTCTCGAATATTTGACAGGATGATTGACCAACTTGACCTTGCCTACAGCCGGGTGTTCCACCTCCTCAATCATGTTCCTCGCAAGAACATGTTCGTGTTCCACTGTCCCTTTGATATCGTTGACTGCCGCATACGGCATGCCACTGCCCTCGAAGATTTCAAGCCACTCCTGCGTTGTCTTTGTCATGAGCTCTGCTTCTACGAGGGCGTCAATAGTGATGCGGTGTTTGACGCGGAGCGCGTTCGTGAGGAAGCGGGGGTCGGTTTTCCATTCGGGGCGGGAAAGCTTGTCGCAGAGGATGCCGTAGAGGCGGTCGTTGCAGCCGCCTACAGCGATGTTTGTGTCTTTTGTTTTGTAGGCGCGGTAGGGGACGACGGTTGCTGATGTGGTGTTAGCTCTGTCTTCCGACATCTACTTATTCATCCGCTCAATCACCCCATGTCCCGGAGAGACGTGAAAAACTTACCATGAGCAGTTCCCCATCTTCCACTATCCCCCTTTCCTGTAACAAGTGCGCTACTTGCTATATTGGCCAGCCCAGCGACTTGCACATCGCTCAAACTTGCATCAATCCACTGACCTAACCCCGTCTCTTTCCTCGAGTAGAGCGCCGCTTGTATGCCAATCGCTGTGTACATGCCCGTCATGATATCCGTAACAGCAACACCAACCTTCACCGGCGGCCCATCACGTTCTCCAGTAATATGCATCAACCCCATCTCAGCTTCCACCATGACATCGTATCCAGCGCGGTCGCGGTAGGGTCCCGTTTGGCCATATCCTGTCACCGAAGCGTAGATAAGAGAGGGGTTGAGCTTTGCGAGCGTGGCATAGTCAAGCTGGTACTTCGCGAGGGAGCCGGGGAGGTAGTTTTCGACAAGTACGTCGCACTTCTGAGCGAGCTGGTGGAGGATAGATATCCCGGTTGGGTTGTTGAAAGCGAGGCCGACAGATCGCTTGTTGCGGTTTACCTGGCATATTCATCAGCAAAATCTTATCTCCGGACGATAGTAGTAACTTACAGAGAGGTAGTACGCGCTTTCGCCAGGGAATTGACGCTCGACGCCATCGATATATAGTGCATCTGGTGGTCCCCAGGATCGCGTGTCGTCGCCTCTTGTTGGGTGTTCAATCTTAATCACATCGGCTCTACCCTCGAGTTAGTAATTGAAGGCGTACTGGTGTAACTTTTCGCGCACCCGAGGTCTCCAAGTATTTGCGTGCAGTATGGCTACGTGATGTTAGTGCCGTTGGCTTCAATCTTCCATGCAGTCGTCACCTACCCCTGCAAGCACCCTGGTCATATCCAGCACCTTGATACCAGCCAACGGTAGTTTTTCTACCATCTGCTTATCCACCTCGCGCTTGGATGTAATCCCTCTCCGCCATATTTGCGACCTTGATGTAGCCAATCGATTAGCTATATGGCATAGAGGGCTGTGCGCTGCTGTTCTCGTAACAAATCCGAGGGGAAACATGGTCTTGCTGTTGACGCGCCATCTTCGCGCGTTTCCATGTTAAAGAGAAGAACAAGAAGCATCGCCTTCTCGAATCATCGCCCCACATACCGATTGTGGGGTCAGCAGAAAGCTAGAGGCTCAAGAACGCGAAGGCACGGACATCTTTTGGAAAGCAATATGGTTACTTGGTCATGTTCATTGTGTAGCATTGGATATCGAACGAATATGTGTACACGCCAATTGCAAGAGAAAGAAAAGTAAAGCGCTGAAGTGACTGAAACCGCCGGAAACCGAAACAGCACATTATGCCCCCACTCCATTAGTACCATTGATGCCGTTGGTCTTTGATTTACTGGACAGGTATTGCTGAAGCTCTTCGGAGTGAACGCCTTCCGTATCGCTGGTGTTGGCGCCATGCGAAAATCCACCAAAGTAGTAAGGTGCGAGCCGTTTCTTCTCAGCAATCTTATCTTCCTTGATTCGAGTGAGCAATTCCTGAGCTCTCTTGTTTGAGGAAAAGCGATCCTGGGAATCATTAGTAAGATATTGAGAAAGCTCAAGCGTTTTAGCTTACCGGTAGAGCGTCCCAAACTTTATAGTCGGTGCCGCGGGTCTCGATTGTACCACAGCCTTTGCGAGCGTACTCCGTAAAGAGGAAGAGGCGGCTTGACTCGATCATGATTGTCAATTGATCTATCATCACGTTAGTGAACAGCCAATTGATGTAACCATGATTTTCACTCACCAGTCAAAATCTTCTCCGGTTGACTCTCGTGGATACGCATACCATGCTGGTATCCTTCGTGGAAGCCACCATGAGGTGTGTGGCCTCCTTCGAAGCTGCCTCCACCGGGCTGGAAGTCGTCACTTCGTCCAAGACCTTGCCCATAAATGCAAGCTAGGAATTCGGACGCGGAGTTGCGGTGGAAGTAGGGAAGTCGGAAGGTGTTAGTCGCAACGTCCCATCGTGGACCGAACCAAAGGAAGTCGGCCAGCGGTGTGAGAGGGTCGCGTGACTTGGCAGTGAGAACCGTGAAAATCGAGGGGTCGGTATGATCGATGGATGTACTGTTCTGCGAGGAGAACTTGGTAAGGTCGTACTTGTAAGGGACAACATTGCCGTGCCATGCAACGAGATCAAATGGACTGTGATCTTGCTGAATAGCCACGAGCTGGCCGTTAGTCTTGTTGACAATCTGCCAGTCCACGTGCAATTCATCATCGATAGCAGCTACCGGGTAAAGAAAGTCACGAGGATTGGCAAGACCGTGGCCCCCCAGAGGACCCAAATCAGGAAGTTCCCACATGGACCCCCATACCTCGGTTATGTAACCGCGTGCTACTGGGGTATCCGGAGCCAAGTTCAGGCAGAATCGAATGCCGCGCTGTATGACGCAAATCTCGCCTGGCTGAAGGAAGATCTTTCCCATTTCTGTCTTGATGTCTAGATTGCCCTGTTGTGCGCAGATAAGGAAGTCGCCATCAGTGTTGCAGAATGCTCGGCGCTCCATGTTTGAGTTGATCATGTAGACATATAGCGCAATACCCTCTTTGATGTTAGGGTCTCCACTGCCGCAGAGAGTGTGTAGACCATCGGCAAAGTCGATCTTCTCATCCTCCTTGGGAAGTGGGAATGGATGCCATTCAGCTTGTTCGGGAAGGGTTTCGACTTTGGGATTAATGGAGAGGAAGCAGTTGGTGATGTTTGACTTGGACTCAATAGGAATATAGCCATCTGATACCATTTAGCAATTGAAACTAGGGATGATTTCACTGCACATACTGTGAGCTGCTGCAGGACGGCACCGGTACATGTAAGTACTGAAGTTATGTGCGCGCGGTGCGGCAAATGCCGAATATGTGATGCCTTCAGTGTAGAGCCCGAAACGAACTTCTTGGGGGTTGTTCTGGGCAACGGGCAATGTGCCTGGAATGACCTCAGACTGATGGCGATTTCCCCATCCTGCTTGATAGTCGTATGGATCGTTCGCGCGTGTTGGTTTCAGTCGCTGAAGGTCGGTGTAATGAAATGCCTTTTGGGGGTCGGTGACGAGCTTGCGTTCCTTGAAGTCTTGCATCATGTTAGGTGTGGAGTAGTAATGTGAATATGAAGTAGCTCTCAGAATCAACGGTCAAGTCTTATATCAGACATACGTGACCGTGCCTGGTTAGGCCGACATCTGCCGCAGTACTGTGACAGGTCTGTGCAGTATGTGGTGGCGGGGCCCGAGTCTCTGAATAGCGGGGTTGCCACTTTCGGTACCTAGGCTACGGGAGCGGTGGGAGGCCCACAAGTAGTGGACGAAGGATCCTGACCGGGTTAGTGGGACCTCCGAGATGATGGTGCGTAAATCATGCCAGAGGAATGGGAATGCGATGTGGATCCGGTGGCTCACTTGCGGGGTTGGTTATTAAGTTTGACAAGGTGAGGGTGTGATAATGTAGTGCTGACTCAGATGAGATATCTACGAGATTGCTATCACAGCCTATCTATGGATGGTGGCTGTCATCTCGACGCGGCCAGAACCTCGTCAACCATGAGCCCACAGGAGCCGAGGTAGTTCTTTGCGTCGCACAACGAGCTCAGTTCTTCGTTCGAAATCTTGTCAGTGATTTCAGAGCGTGTTTGCAGAGCCTCCAACAAACTAGTGTCGTTCTCGATGCTCTCTCTGCATGCCTCATAGACGACATCGTGCGCCTTCTGACGACCGACATGTGGAGCAAGCCCCATCATGACAGCCTCCGCAACGATGAGACCTCTGGTGGAGTAGAGGTTGGTGAGCATTTGCTTCGGGTTCACTACAAGGCCCGAAAGCGCAAAGTCAGCCTGGTTAAGGGCGCCCACAGCGATGACGAAGCTCTCCGGGACGGCCACCCACTCCAGATGCCATGGACCCGACGCGCGCTCGAAGTCGGAAACCATGCCATCCAGTACCAAACCTGCGTTTGATCGCAAGATCTTTGACGCTGCCAGGATGACTTCACTTGAAATGGGGTTTCTTTTCTGTGGCATTGTAGAAGAAGCACCGCGATGGGGCACGAAAGGCTCCGATACTTCCGACAGCTCGTTTGACGACATGATGATGATGTCCAAGCCCAGCTTGCCTAGAGTACCACCAACAAGTGCAAGGTAGTTCGTGATCTCAGCAACACCATCTCTCGCAACGTGCCAGGTGATTGGAGGATCTGTAAGTCCAAGGTCTCTGGCCATCTCTTTCCTAACACGGATCCCATCGTCGCCCGAGCCCAAAGAGGCCAAAGAACCTGCGGCTCCCCCGAATTGAACCATCAATGCGCGAGACTTGAGCTGCTCGAGACGTTCAAGGTGTCGTTGAAATCCAGATAGCCAGATAGCGCATTTGTGCCCAAAGGTGATGGGAAGTGCATGTTGTAAATGCGTGCGGCCAGCCATGGGTGTGTCCCGGTGCTTTCTCGATAGATCTTCCAGGTTCTTGATGACAGACCGAAGCGTGCGTTCGACTATCTCAAGACCCTCTTTCATCTGTAGAATGCTCGCCAGATCCATGATGTCTTGAGTTGTTGCCCCCCAGTGCACATATCGTCCAGCTTCGTCCCCACACGATGCGGACAATTGCCGTACCAGCGGGAAGATGGGATAACCAACGATTTCAGTTTCCTGGCGTAGTCTGTCATAATCTAGAGAAATCTCACTGGCTTTCGACGTCACAATCTCTCCGATATGAGACGGAATGACATTGCATTTTGATTGCGCTCTTGCCAAAGCTGTCTCCGCATCGACACAACGATTGATGTAAGCCTTATCATCAAAGACTTTGCGGATTTCATCAGTCCCGAAGAGCGTGCGAAAGATGACAGAGTCGATGGCGCTCACGCTGCCGAGTGATCGTCGTTGGGGACGGATTGCGGTCAGCCGGGGAATGGCACGGAGTGGGGCACGCCGAAGTAAGAACATGACGGATTGGTAAAGATGCAAAGACTTTAAGGAATCAGGGGAGGAAAATGAGGCTCGAAACAGAACCTCAAGAGCATATTAAACATCATGGCTTCATGCGGTGGCCGGGGACGTGTGGGACGGATGATGCAGGTTCGGGCGTGTGGGGAAGCCATTGCCGAGCTAGTGTCGGCCCCTGCATTTGGCAGCACCGAAAACAGTTAGTTAGCGGTACAGCACGTGATGTACGCGACAATTTGGCGTCACCGGAATTCCGCACCGGCATCTTTCTTCTGCATTGATCTACAGGCACGACTAGGCCCTCTTCGTCTATCATGATTCTCTCACAAACAAGGATGCGACGCCCATGCCGGTGCTGGCACACATACTGACAATGCCTATCTCCTTGTCCTGGCGTCGAAGCTCACCAAATAGTGTAGCTGTCTGTCGAGCACCTGTCGCTCCGGTTGGGTGCCCAAGGGCTATCGCACCTCCATTAGGGTTCACCTTGTCTTCGTCCAGACCCAATTCTCGGATACAAGCGACAGTCTGACTTGCGAAAGCCTCGTTCAGTTCAATCACATCGACGTCCTTGAGTTCGACACCTGTCCACTTCAGCAATGCTGGAATGGCGTATATCGGGCTGATACCCATCTCGTCTGGTGCACAGCCCTTGACCTGGGTGCCCACGAAGCGACCGAGAGGCTGGAGCCCACGCTCCTCTGCCCAGGAACGTCGAGCAAGAATGGTAGACGATGCACCGTCGGATATTTGAGATCTATATTATCAGCTATGCAGTGTCAAAGGGGGATCGAATACTCACGAATTGCCTGCAGTGCTCTTGCCGTTTTCACCAAACACAGGTTTAAGCGTTGACACCTTCTCAAATGTCAATCCATGGCGGATACCGTCGTCTTTGGTCACCTCGTATCCTGCAGGCTGACCGGTTGCCTCGTCCATTCTCTGGACCGTCACTGGCACAAGCTCCCAGTCAAAACGCCCTTCTTTCTGAGCGCGACTTGCGCGACCGTGACTCCGCACAGCGTATTCATCTTGCGACTTCCGGTCGATCTTGAATCTCTCTGCTACATTCTCAGATGTAATGCCCATGGGCATGAGACAGTCGCGAGCATCTTTGACGTTCGATCCGAGAAGGGCGGGCGAGACGTCGGTGGGGACGCCCCGCGAGCCATAGTTTCTTGACATGCTTTCTACACCGCCAGCGAGCCCCACGTCTATCTGGCCCACCATGATGGAATGTGAGATGTGGGTAATAGCCTGTAGACTGCTCGAGCATTGACGGTTGACGGTGTGAAAAGTTGTCGAATTCGGGAAGCCGGCATGGTTGAGGGCCATACGTCCCGTCTTTGCGAAACCAAGCTCAGCAAGGACGTTCCCAATCATGACATCGTTCACGTCGCTCTTCTCAATGCCAGCTCGTTGCACAGCCGCTTTCATAACCTGCGGCGAGTTAGCTACCACAACGCATGTACTCGCCGAGACTGACCGGCATCAAAATATCCTCCGGATGCGCATCTTTATATCCGCCCTTGAAGCTTCGATTGATGGGTGACCGGACTGCAGAAAGGAGGACAACATCATTGGGGCTCTTTTGCAATGCATTCCGTGCGGCTCTGCTAAAGGATGCCATGTTGCGCGTTGGCTTGAGAGGAATGTCCAACACATGGTTGCGCCTAATGAAGCACCATGTAGGGCGACTTCACGATGTCGAAACTGCCGCATCGCGTTCGGACGCACGAGCTGTGGCGGGGCGGATAGCTTGTGTGGGGCAATCGGGAAGACCCCTCCATATGACGAATGGTGGACCAGGGCACTGCCAGCTGAGGCTTGCCGAATCTAGCCTGAATGAAGACGCGACTATTCACCTTGAACATTCTGACGCGCAAGTTGACACATACACGGCACTACACCATGGCGCTTCCAACCAAGTACCAGAATGGCAACATCGACTCCTCCGCCAAGGGAGTGTATAGAGCATCACCCGTCAAGCTTATGATATATGGAAACGGTACGCTCGCCATCTTTGCAGCCTGAGCAGATCTAATACTATCGCTTAGGTACAAGCAAGCAGCTCTCAGACGTCATTGCCGAGCTCGGTGCAACCAAGGCTTTCATCATCACTGGTCGGTCACTCTACGAGAAGACGCCTGTGATCAAGAACATTGAAAAGACACTTGGCTCTGCTCATGGTGGTACCTTTAGCAAGATTGGACAGCATGCGTGAGTTGGATTCTATTGATGACTTCCTAGCAGGAATTGACATTGGACAGGCCGATTCAGGACATTAGAGAAGCAACAGCCTTGATGTCGAAATCAGGATGCGATGTACTCATCTCAATAGGTGGCGGTTCACCAATCGATTCAGCAAAGGCAATTGCATACAACATTCACGAAGAAACGGGAAAGTGGATACCCAGCATTGCTGTACCAACAACGCTCAGCGTAGCTGAGACTACACAAAACGCCGGCTTCACGACAGAAGAGAAGCACAAGATTGCCGTCAGTCATCCTGAACTTGTGCCAAAGGGTATATGCCAAGATCTCCCGCCCTTGCTAAGTTCCCCACTAACTAGTCCTAGCTGTTGTCTACGATGGTGAGCTTGCTCTATACACACCCATGAATCTATGGATAAGCACAGGCGTATGTGACCCTATTCTTCATATGTAAAGAAATCATGGCCTGACAAGCTCCAGATTCGATCGCTGGATCATGCAGTCGAGCTCATGTACCACCCTCTTGCCGCTGAGATTCCGACAAAACGAATGTCTTTGGAAGCCATCAAGGACCTGTTCACATTTCTTCCGCAATCGAAATCAAATCCCGACGATGCTGAGATCCGCACGAAGCTCTTCCTCGCTTGCTACTCCTCGCTTTTCCCCTTTCTCTACACTGGCGGCGTTGGCCTAAGCCACAGCATCGGCCATGCGATAGGCGCCACGTACAGCATTCCCCACGGTATCACGAGCTGCCTCAGTCTCGCGCCGACAGTACACTTCAAGGCAAGCAACCCCGAAGAAGCAAAGCAGATTGCCAGGATCATCCCCTATATCGGAAAGCAAGGAACCGGGAGCGACGAGAAGGACTCGCATATAGTAGCCGATGCCATCGCAGGACTGGTTGAGGAGCTTGGACACAAGACCACATTGACTGCTGTAAGTTATTGAAGGATGCCCAATTTGCTCGTGCTGACCCTCGGTAGTACAACGTGCCGACTGGCGATGCCGAAGAAGAAGCCATCGCATCACGCGCACTACATAGCAAGGACCACAAGGATTTTGCCAGCTGTAAGTTATCTTGTGGATAGTCGCAAGTATCAATCACTCACAGAATTGCGCAGTGAAGCAAATTGTCCACGCCTTGTACTGAGAGACGAATATGGGCGAAGGCTGTGTGTTGGAGAATATGGTGGATCGCGACATGTCAATTGAGATTTCCCAGTAGTGACGCGTTAGCACGTGAGCCGGCCTATTCTATCAAGAGGAAATGTTTTCCATTTCCGTGTCCCCACGTTGTTTTTCCGTGCTCCGTGTGACCCAATGAACATGCGTTTTGCCCGCAACCTCCGCACATGAGCCGGCTAAGGTCTCATCCACCTCCGATTGTGGAGACAATGCTCGCGAATCCGCCATCAGCCGGCATTTGCGTCGGTCTACCCCAATTGGCTAGTCTTCATCATGTATTCCCTCGTGGTAATTGTGGAGGGGCCTTCAACTTCGCTGCATTGTACGCGACATTCTTCACGCACAATCTGGGACGTTGAACAAGACTGAGCTTGCTGCTGTGGAGCCGTCCGAACTCAATCTCTGAGATCAGTTAGCGATTGCAATAGCTCTGCGAAATCTTGATATACTCGGGCTGCTTTGAAGCGTGCCAGTTTTGAAACTTCTTTTCCTTCGAAATTCGATAACTCCACATCCTCACGATGCAACGATCACTCGTCTTCACGGCTCACCGCCGCGGCCCAGCAACTGGCATGCGCTTCTTCTCAGCCAGCGCCGCGCGACCCGCAATCAACAAGATAGTCTCATCTGCCGAAGAAGCTATTAAAGACATGAAGTCTGACACCACAGTCTTGGTCGGCGGATTCGGTTTCTCTGGTGTACCAAATACCCTCATCAACGCGCTACGCGACCGAAAAGATCTCGGAAACTTCACAGTTGTCAGCAATAATGCAGGTATGCCGGGTGTGGGCCTGGGTCAGCTATTGGAAACGAAGCAGATCGGTACAATGATTGCCAGTTATATCGGAGACAACAAGGTGTTTGAGCAAATGTACTTGAAGGGGCAATTGAGTCTGCAGTTGACCCCCCAGGGCACAATCGCAGAGAAGTGCGCTGCTGGAGCCGCAGGAGTACCAGCGTTTTATACACCAGCAGCTTATGGCACGATAGGTACGTGAGGTTTCAGAGTTGGAGTCTCTCCTGAATGCGTCGAGCAACTACAGAACACAACAACTAACAGCCACCAGTACAAACCGGTGAACTTCCCGTCCGTTACAACACCGATGGCACAATCGCCGTCATGGCTCCCCCCAAAGAAACCCGCGAATTCAACGGAAAGTCCTACGTCATGGAAGAAGCCATCTTCGGCGACTACGCATTCGTCAAAGTCGCAAAAGCCGACAGACTAGGCAACTGCCAGTTCCGTAAAGCACAAAACAACTTCAACGAGGCCATGGGCAAGAACGCGAAAATGACCATTGTCGAGGCAGACGAGATTGTAGAAGACGGAGCAATTGCACCAGAGGATATTCACCTCCAGGGCATTTACGTTAAGAGGGTGATCAAGAGTACCGTTGGCAAGGAAATTGAACGGAAAGTGTTCTGGAAGAGTCCAGAGGAGCAGAAGAAGGCGTTGTTGGAAGGTGGTACGTATCCCGTTATCTCCCATACCTGTCATGCACCCGGCTAACCACAGACAAATAGGCTCAACAGAAGCATCCCAAAAGCGCGAACGCATCATCAAGCGCGCAGCCCAAGAACTGAAAGACGGCATGTATGTCAACCTCGGCATCGGCATGCCACTTGCGGCCCCAGCCTTCCTGCCCGAAGGCACAGAAATCGTGCTGGAGAGTGAAAACGGTATCTTGGGTATGGGACGGTATCCCGTGCCAGGTGAAGAAGTAAGCTTTTCCACCATCTTCATTGTCCCACCTGAACGCAATATCTGACATCAAATTAGGACCCAGACCTCATCAACGCCGGCAAAGAAACAGTCACTCTAATCAAAGGCGCCTCTACGTTCGGCAGCCACGAGTCCTTTGGCATGATTCGATCGGGGAGAATAGATGTGGCCATGCTAGGTGCTATGCAGGTAAACCAATTCGGAGGTACGCATTCCCCTTCCCATCCCGCCAAACTCCCCACTAACACACACACCTACAGACCTAGCAAACTTCATGCTCCCCGGCAAAGTAAAAGGCATCGGCGGCGCCATGGACCTAGTCGCCAACCCCACGCAGACGAAAGTCGTCATCACAATGGAGCACGTGGACAAGAAGGGCAACCCCAAGATCCTCAAACAATGCACTTTCCCCTTGACAGGGCAAAAGTGCGTGAGCACTATTATCACGGATTTGGCCGTCTTTGACGTCGATCGTGTCAAGGGATTGACGCTGAAGGAACATGCAAAGGGTGTTAGTGTTGAGGAGATTCGGAAGAAGACAGAGGCTGAGTTTGAGGTTAGTGGCGAGTTGAAGGAGATGGATGTGTAGTGAGATGATGGGATGAAAAGGCGTTTTGAACTATAGCCACGATTATGATTATGAGCGCTGTTTCTATCTAGGCTCTGCTGTCGCGCTGAAGATGCTCTTATATAACCTGTTTGACGTCATACATGAATTATCCACTTTCGCGTCCGTCAATCCCTCGGCCAGTCTTCTACCTCATGAATCTGTACAAGATATTCCCCTACACTTTCAGACCTGTCAGCGTCTCCACAAGCGTGTCAAACGCGTCACTTCCGAGTTTGACGACTGGTGCCGCAGTAGCCCAGAACATAGCAGTCGGAAGCATACCAATGACGGTGATGAACGTAGGTTCATACGACTCGACAAAGACATCCTTGTCCTCTCGCCGGACCACAAAGTCCCAATCCTCAACATCAGCATCATCTTCCTCGTCTTGCTCGACTGGCAACCTCGGTCGACGGGATGAAGGCGTGGGCGCACATGGGCGTGCCAAGTAACTAGCGTCAATATCTTCCTCGTCCTCTGTGTCGACAAGCGAAGATACTACCGAAAAGCCCCGCGCTTTGGAAGCATGCTGCACACGAGAGAGCGCACTGGGCGAGATACATTCATTCCAATCCTCTGCAGCCCTCGCTTTAGCAGGTGTTGCAGACATGATCAGGTCACCAGCAGCGTGGCTCTCCATGACAGGTTCGATGGGTGCCAGATCGAAATCCCTATATTGATCTAACTCTTGTAGCTCTTTCTTCTCCTCGGCCTCTTCTTCATCAACTCTAGCTTCGCGGGCTATCTGGGCGAGTTCTTCTGGTGAAGAGGCGTTGCGACGGCGTTTGGGAGGTGAGTTTTCCAGGCCTTTGTAGTACGTGATGACGCGGCTCGAAGGTGAGTCCAGGTTAGTAGATACCGGAAAATACTCGAAGAAGGGGCTGTTGGGGTACGGAAACATGGTATCAGGGCTGAATCGAGAGTATTCGTGGTCTGAGGCACGTCGATGGCGCTTGTAGGGTGGTGAGTAGTAGGAGGTACCGGCAATTTGTAAAGAAGGGGGCTATGCGAGGGTCAGTGAATTAAATCGTTAGAAGCATTGACAGAACTACCTTGATTGTAGTCTCGCTTGGCTCTACAGGCGTAGTGGTCAAACGATGCCTGTTTCGCTGATGGCCTTGCTCTCGAGTATGGCGCATGCGATACCCTGATGTGTCACCTGGGGCCGAGAATGGTTTAATGAAGTCGCGTGGTCTCAGCAAATCCCACAGATCTTGAAGATTCTTGTTCCTCAACTGCTCCTCGAGCTTCCGCACGCTCATTTCAACCTCAGAGCGATAACTGCGCGGTACTTCGCTTTCATTCGACGTCGACTCGTCATGATCATAGAAGCTTCCAAAGTCTTGAACAGGCAGAGAAGGTGCCATCGCTGCGGCCAGATTCATACCATACTCTATAGACAAGTCGTCTTTCTCTTGCGTGTCCAGGGTATCATCAGTGTCGTCCATATCCATGCTGTCGTTGTCGTCTTGGTAACCAGCCTCTTGCTCATTGGCGTAATCGAAGTGCTCCATCTGTTGGAACGACTCATCTTCGCTCTCTGGGATGACCAAGTTTTCAGAAGTACTGTCTAGAGCTGGTGGGCTTGAACTGTTGGCGCTAAAGAGCGGCTGCCGTGAGAGGGGCGAAGAGCTGCTCGTATCCATGAGTAGCTTGTACAGAGTGCGACAGTCGGATGGTGAGAGCGACGATTCGTTCCAGAAAGAAGGAGAGCTCGACTCTTCGTCCTCGATCACGAGCTTGTTTGCCGCAGGAAACATGTGTTCTAGTGTTGTGGATGTCGTCCCAGGAGGGGTGTCGGGTGGCGTTGACGACATGCTCACACCAAACCGTGATGGTAGAGACAATCTGTTGGCAGAAATGCGCAAACAAAGAAGCTCATAAGGTGGTGAGCAGAGGGTGGGTACGACCAACAATAGTGGAGACAACAAATAGAGACGCAGGGCAAATGATGACGAAATTGGTTGCTACGGGCAGGCACGCGCAACATCAACTAAGGCAACCCGATGCGGACACAACAGTCGGAGTAAGAGAATTTGTCGCACAAACTTTTACAAATCAACACCTGCCTCGCCGACGCGCACGCCCCTCAACACATACCCATCCCTTCTTGCTTCCGTCGCCTCTCTTAAGATAGTCTCTCTAATCTCCTCGCTTCTCACCCGCCACCTCACCCCGTAAGGCTTCGCCATGGTAGTACTACCTACTGCATCAAAAGAATCATCACTCGTATCCACCTGAGCTTCTTTGCCGTGTGCATCAAGTGGTGGCAAGATATCGAAAGCCCAAAGTAGCTTTGCCAGTACAATGAACATGCTGTTTTCAGCTAGATGCACGCCACTGCATATCCTGCGCCCAGCACCAAAAGCCCAATGGTCGCGACTGGCGGCTGGACCTGCGGCATAATGGCCCGAGCCGTGGGGGTGGTGAAGATACCTCTCGGGTGTGAAGCGTTGGGGTTCGGGAAACACAGTGGGATCGTAGTGAATAGGGTATTGCTGTAGGCAGACGACTGAATTTACGGGGATATGTATGTCTTTGTAGGTTACGGGCGCAGTCGTATAATGCGGTGTGCCGATGTTGGTGACGGGGCGTAGACGTAGTGTCTCCTTCACGATGGCGCGGATGTAGGGCAGTTTCGGTTCATCATCGAATGTAGGAGATCGAGAGGAGGTGATGACTTCCTGGATCTCGTTGACTGCTCTTTTTCTTGCATCTGGATTGGCGCTGAGGTATAAGATCGCAGTGTTCAGTGCGGCGGACGTTGTCTCGCTTCCTGCTTCGATCATGCTGCCCGCCAAAAACGCGGCTTGGAGTTCGCTGATGCCCTGTTCCTCGTAACCACTCTCCATGAATTGCTTAACAAAGCATTCGGGTGCCTGTCTGGTTTCCTTTTGGGTTTTGAGTGCACTCCAGAATGACATCCATAGCTTGGCCTGCTTGTCAAAGTATGGCTTGACACCTTTGCGCCACCATTGTAGACTTGGCGGAAGTTTGCCGAAAAAAGGAAGAGTATCTGCAAGGTACGCTCCCGGCTTTGCTATTGTAGAGAAATCATTCATGATCTCGTAGATGCTGTGAACCTCGGGGCAGTCCTGTCTCACATGAGCTCTCCTTTCCCGTTATGCTAGAACGCTGTCCATGCACTCACCCACTGCGGTATCCTTCTCCCATATGTACTTGTCATGATTACACTAACAGTATACCTCCTAATCGCCATGTAGCTAACATCATTTCCCTTCTCCGCATCCGCACCCTTCAGAATCTCTTCCAGCAACATCTTGGCCTCGAACTCTTGACTCGGTTTGAACGTCGCACTCACAGCTGGAGTAAGCAACTTATGACTGATGCCTCTCAGCTTCCGCCACTCGGGTCCGTACTCCATAAATAGGAAACGCATACCACCACTCAGCGCATCACCAGCTACAGGAAACGGCGCGCGTGAACTGGTGTAGGCAGACTGTTTGTCGAGAATCTCCTTGCATGCATCCGGCGAGCAGACCATGTACCAGTCGTTCCATCCCAAACGGATCTTGTACACTTCGCCATACTCGCGAGCCCACTTTGTGATTTGCTGGTGCGGTTGCTTGCCCAGTTGGTGTGCATTTCCTAGTATTGGAAGACCAGCAGGCCCAGGCGCGGCTTTCTTTCCAGGAGGTGGTCTGTTTTTGTATCGATTGTATAAGACAAAGGTTGCGAGAAACAATGATAGTAAGATGATGGTGTACATGTGGGGCAGGATGTTGGAGGCTCCAGTCGAAGGAAAACGCAGAAGCAACACGACGGTGATGTATTACTAGTAACCCTTTACTATCGGGAATCAATATACTGGCTATCTAAACATGATTAATGTGACCGAATGCGCATGTTCATGCTCCACCACGCAGGTCTACCCCACATGCTCGCTTGGGTGTATCCAGGGATGCCGTGTGCCTGCTTGGGCTGAAGAGGGGAATGCGGAGAAAGATGAAGCGCTAGCTCTGTTTCTTCCAAGCACTCGTTCTCCAATCCACGGCAAATGCACTGTATTCAGTGACCTCGAACCTAGTTAGTCTGCCCAGATGAGAAGACGCAATGCCGTTCCGTCGAGCGCCGGTCGAGAATCGGTTTCATCTCTCGTTGTCTTCAAGCCGACGAAGCATCCTCACAGACTCTCACAACGTCCTCAGATGCTGCTTGCAAAGCCGCTGACAAGCTCGATTGAAATGGGCTGTGTGTATGTGGAGATAACGAACAGTTCGCGTCGCGATGTTTTAGTCAGCCGTCTTTGCTCGGCCTTCCGAAGCCACCGAAAGGCATCCACTTTCACCAAAGCAACTCGAAGCACAAAGCTAGCGTATGCTAGAAATCTTCATGTGTAGTATAAGAAACGCGATTTGATCTCTCCACTAACATGACAATTATGATGCCTCGTTTCGCAGTTCGCGCGCCTTTGCGGCTCCTAACGTCAAGTTTTAGCTTCCGCCCGTCAAACCTCCAACCCGCAAACCTCGACACCACATCTAAACGCGCCATTTCCACGTCCACATTCAAACTCGACCCTTCGATATTCAATCGCACGCTCTACAAACATGTAACGGAGCTATGGTTTCCAGGCGTCGATATAAGTGGCCAGGAGCTAGACATGAGCGTCGCGAAACGCTGGTTCATGGGCACGCCTGAAGAAAAGGCTACTTTCGACGCCCAGTGTAGAACTGCCTTTGCGCACGCACTGGATTCAATTGGACCAGACCAATTCCCCGAAGCAAACGCGCAGCCACTTCTGGACGAGATACAACGCGTTGCAGATGAAGAGGCAGAACGGGATACCGCGGGAAAGGCAAAGGGAGAAGAAGCAGCGTGGACAGCATTGAGTCTAACACTCCTGCTAGACCAGATGCCGCGAAATATACATCGCACAGAAGACGGTTTGCGATTAGTATACACGCATTATGACCGCATGGGCTACGCGCTCGCTCGTAGTCTCCTCTCCCCTTGCTCGCCTATCCCGCGTCCGGATAAGCATCCAGTGTTTCGGCTGTCAGCAGCACATAGGATATGGTTCTATATGCCACTCATGCACTCTGAAGATCTTGCTGCGCATAGGTTTGCCAGTGAGATAGTAGACGAGTATGCGAGAGAAGTAGAGGGCCTGGAGGGGTACAATGGCACAAAGATGTTTCTGGAGGGGCATGAAAAGGCGCTGAAGGAGCATACAGATATATTGGAGCAGTTTGGTAGGTATCCTCATCGCAATGGTGCTTTGGGAAGGGAGAGCACGGAGGAGGAAAGGCGGTTCATGGACGAGGGGGGCGCTTCGTTTGGTGTTGGGCAGAAGAAGGATAGTGAGTCTTGAATGGGCGCTTTTCTCTTCTTTGTTGCCGTATAACACACCTTCCGATACCATGTAGAGCCATACCCCGATATTACGAAGTGATGGCTTGTTGCTACGGGCACTGCACCTGGCTTAACAATTATAAATTCTACAGAGTTCACAATGTTTGTCGCTCACTAGCAATATTAATTCAACACAGCATACAGAGCTGATTCATCCACTTTACAGCTACCTGACTGCTGCAATTGAACCATGCCATGTCACATCCATGCCAGCAAAAAATCCTGCATGCGACTGACAGTGCCACGTAGCCATCTGAGATCTTTACATGCTTCACTGAGACTCCGCCACGACCATCGTCTATGCAAAAAAAAGTTCCTGTCATCTCACCGCTGCCCACAGGACGCCCGGAAACGCAAAAAGAATGGGTCTTACCGCGACTCGAACGCGGGGCCTCTCGCAAGTGTGCTCAGGTTGTTCACCCTAAGCGAGAATCATACCACTAGACCATAAGACCATTGTGAACTACTGATGCAGTTATTGATGGAAGGAATCGAATTTAGTACGTTTATGTAGTTTTACATTGTAAGGGGATAAGGTGTACTCAGGGGTCGAGTGGGAAGACGGCTAAGCGAGCTGCTTAACGGCGGAAACATCAATGGTGTGGGGAAGCTCCGGCTCGATGTAGAGCCAACACTGACAACCCAGGTTTGAAGCCTAAGCATGAGACATCAAGTTCTTCGGTTCGATAAGCACCAAAGTCCGGTCGACGTGTCGCATTATATGCTATTTGCCGTTTTGCCGCAACCTGGGTCCATGTGGCGTTTTGTGCGACCCGAGGAGCGTCCCGCACTCAACATAATATGAATGCGAAGCTCCCCGGTACCTAAGTTCCTTCATGACGTCCTCCGCAGCCCCGACATGTTATTGATGAACACGAACACATGATGGAAAACGCTACTACATTTTGGCCTCTATGGACATCACAGGAAATCATATAAGTCGTAATGGTTCAACTTTTCATCCCCGAAGGTACCGCCAAGGTTTTACATAAAACCTTGGAATGTACCTACAGCTCTAACAAGGCTTGGGCGAGTCGCAGCACGTTATAATGAGAAGACCCGAGGGTGTACCTATCACTACGCCCAATCTCATTGCATCGCCATGGGTGGGTACGCTCGTTGCTATGGGCTGGACTGGCCTTCTCGCTCTTGGCGGCCGCTTACGACCGGGTACTTTTGTCAAGTCCGCCGCCATTTTCAGTGTCCTCAACTTTTCCTGGGAAGCTGCGGGCCTGTATGGACGACGAGAGTTGCATAGAGGCATCTTCAAAATGCTGAATATCGAACCGCAACCGGGCGAGCTCTGGGAGCGGACAAAGTACTGGACCGTAGAAGATACGACACTATACGGTGGGGCATTGGGAATCGCCGCCGTATTGAACAGACGCGCTGTGCCTGGTGCTCATGGATTCTTTCGATATTTTGGAGCGGCCATGGTTGGATGTGACCTTGGCTACGCAGTTGGGACAGGCCTTTTTGAGAGGACTCTCGACACTCACTACATTGGAGAACACAACTGGCTAAGAGGCTGGATAAGGCCCAGCTATTACCAACACTTGAAAACGAATCCCCAATCCCAAGCATCGCTTTCTCGTATCGGCAAGTTTGCGCTCGAGTACCACACGCCTCCACATCTACGAACCTCAATGTCTGCAGTACGTAGCATGAGGCCTACGTTTACAAAAAACCTCAATGAAATGCCCTCCAATCAATCTTCATCTGACAGACAGCTGGCAGAGACTGCTAAACAACGGTTAGAGATCCTACACCCGCCCATCTCAGTCAGTTTTGTGAGAGACGAACTTGATGGACCGGACATTAAAACAGACAGTCAAGAGTGCATGGATAGCATTCCATCGCGGGATGGAAACAGCATACAAGAACGATTGGGGCGCATCCAAGATCTCAGGAGTAGGTTAAGGGCTGAGAGCCGATTGGCCTGGCAGATTCTCCTGAACAAGGAACACGAGTTTATAGTCATGTCGAGGATGATCATGAAAAGGACAATCTCCGTTAGGGACTTGTGACGCTCAACAGTCTTTGCCTTGATTTGCACACTAGATGCTCTGTTCTGGATTACCACCAGGCTGATGCACACAAGCAGCTCGAACAGATGAAAAACCCATGCATGGAATGGCGTGCCGTTCTCTCCGCAAGAAGTAGCCGAGATAGACCCCCAGATACACAACAGCCCGCACTTTATCACTGAGAGACTACGAATTGCTTGTTCAGAAGAAGCTGATAGATTGGATTCTCTCAAAAAATTCGCCTCATCGAGGCAAGGCGTATCGCCCAAAATAAACCCACAGTTTTGTGAAATAATCAGTGTCATAAAGGGCAGAGCAAGAGAGTCAATGGATAAACTAGAGGCCAGAAGGCGGTTGCTCAAGTGGTATGAGGATCAATTGCGCAGGGCTGAACAAAGGGAGAAATAGACCCACCATTTGTGTAACATTGCAATACACGACGTCAGGCATCCTTACTCAGTAATTAGGTTGAAAATTAGATGTGCACCTTATAATCGCTTTGCCCATAACATTCACGTCTCACTTTCGATTGTACGCTCCAGCCCGCGCCGCCCCTACACAACTGTGCCGCCACATACAGTTTCTGCCATACTCACCCCAACATGGTTCGCCTGCTCGTACCCGAGGGTATGCTGTCAACATACAAACACAACAAGTCTGTGCTAACGCAGATTAGCTGCAGGCGAAGGATAACATGAGTGTGCGCCTTCGCCACCATTCCCACTAGGCACCAAATTGGCTGAGAGTGTGCTGATAGCCCCGCGCATTGTGACCAGTGTGATAACGAGGATACGAGACATGTCCAAAGTTTTCACAATGCAAGAGTATGGTTTCTATTGAGAAGTTGGCACTATTAGTAGTAGTGTGACTACCTAATAGAGCGCCCTCTAAAGCACAACGGTAGTGGTGGTACAGATTCGTATTGTATTGACTAAGGAGCTATTCACACGTTCGTAGATCCGTGTTGCGTGCAGCTGCGTCCAAGCTCCCCGCTAGGACCCACCTGCACGTGTCACCAATCATGTGACTACTCCTCCGCTTGATACCACCAAGTCACTTACGGACTGTATTCTCAACAGTTTCAAGAATCTCTTGTATCAAGGCCAAAGACTACGACAATTTTATGGCTTACATTTCGCTATACTGTCTTTTATGGCAGTGTCTAGCTGGGCGATGGAGCAGAGCGAGCGCAGAATCAAACAGCGACTCATCAAAGAAAAAGGCGAAGTCATGGGACCATTCCAATGGTACGAGTCGACTAGTGAATACACTGTGGATGATGGAATTGTCGCGGGAGCGGTCTTGTCGGGGCCTGCCATCTATGCTTTTCGGCGAGCTGCGTGGATGCGGGCTGGATTGAGATTTCCAATTCGTATTTTTGCAGCTTTTTCTTCGGGTTGCTTCAAGGGGTATGGCATTGTAACGAGCAATCCTACGGTGCAGAACCGGTCGCTTGCTTACTTCGACACGCAACATGAAGCTTGCAATCGCTATTTCTTGAAAACTTGCCGGGCCTGTGATGGGCGGGGCAGAAAAAGGGGGCTATAGTCAGTATGAAATGCAATGAGGGCGTTGAGAGTGTACTTGTGGCATGTTATCAGGTATGAATTTCTAGTACTACATGGGAATTTGTAGACGTAAGGAGACGCAGCTTTGGTTATATTGCAAGGGACTGTATTGTATCAACATATCCCGGCTCATTCTTCTCACGATGTTGAATCTGACTTGGAACTGGAGAGTTCGGTGGACAAAACAGCGTCTGTCTTTAGTGAATCTGTGCAATAAACAGCTCGGCGCATACGAAAATGATAATATCTGCTTTTTGGTAAGACAATGTGATAGGAGAGTGAGTTGATGGTTAGTGTTAGCGTAGATGTGGTGGATGACGTAATCGATCTGAAGTCGAACGCATAACCATCTTTCGCCTCTGCGCTTCGCCTCACAACACAAACAAACATCAGCCACCAAGCCACTCTCACTTTCACTCGTCTACAAACAGGCCCGTATATACGCTCGTGCCTCATAATGCGGTCCCTACGCCCATCAGCAGCGCGCAGGTTCGGCGCATCGCTCACGTCTAAATCCCCCACCACAATCCCGTTCCGCACGCGACGAATCCCACCACCATGCCTTCTCTGCGCACACCGCATACCACCCCAATCAATATCTCGCCGCTTCCAATCCACGTCCACAAGTTCAAATACTATCGAGAAGCCGTTTGAAAGCCAAAACGCCAAACAACAGCAACAACCACAAAACTACTACTCCTTTTTCCCAGAAACGCTGCCAGCAGGCCCCCCACCAAACGGCCCTTTTGACATCGATGTCAAGGCGCTGAAGAAAGAATTCCTAAAACTGCAATCCACCGCGCATCCAGACCTCCACCAACAAGCGGACAAGAAGCGCGCTGAGGCGCACTCTGCGCAAATAAATGAAGCCTACAAAACACTTGAGAACCCACTGTTACGAGCGCAGTACCTGCTTTCCATGCGCGGCGAGGAGCTGGAGGATGAGACAGCGAAGGTTGACGATATGCAGTTGTTGTTAGAGGTTATGGAGACGAGGGAAATGCTCGAAGAGGCAGAGTGGGATGGGAATTTAAAGGAGATTTGGGACAAGAATGAGAATAGGATAAAAAAGAACGTCAAGGCTATTGATAGGGCATTCAAGAGGGATGATTTGGAAGCGGCGAAGAAGGCGGCAGTTAGTTTGAGGTATTGGGTTAATATCAGGGACACTATTCTGGAGAAGGATTAGGTGTGGTTGTTGTATTGTATCAGACGTAGTTATAGATATTGGTGTAAATATGGGAGGTGAAGGAAGGCGAGGATGGCCAACATCATTGTAGAAATCTAATATTCACCAAGCATGAACAATACCTCCCCATCTTACTATCTACCAATTCCTACATCCGGACATACCAACACCTACACAGGCACTGTAATCGGATTCATAACTCCCGCGCCCCCATCAACCCTCAACTCCGTACCCGTAATATAACTACTAAACCCACTCGCCAAAAACCCCACCGTCCTCCCCACCTCCTCCGGTCGCCCCGCCCTCTCCAGTCCAATCCCCCTCTTCTGACTCTCCTCCCCCTGCAACGACGCCGGCGGAAACTGTCCCATAGCCATCTCCTTGACCCCACAATCCTTCAAATCAACGCCCACATCAATCTGGCCCGCCGTAACAGCATTGATACGAACACCAGTCCCCTTCAACACAAGAACACCAGACCTAACCACCCCCAGCGCCGCATGCGACGCCATAGTGAACGCAGGAGCCCAACACCCACCATACGTACCCGCTACACTAGTAACAACGATAATACTCCCGTACGGAACATCCTTAGGTGCAGCATTAGGATAACTACCCTTTGGCGTAGTTTTCTGCATAGCAGCCGGCGCGTATTTCAGCGCGAAGAAAGCCGGTAGAGCGTTTGTATCGAATGCAGCGTAGAGGTCTTTTGGTCCGGTTTGGTTGATGGAGGGGGGTCCCAGGAGGCCGGTAGATGAGGTCCAGACGTCGAGTCTGCCCCAGGTATTTAGCACGTCGTCGATGAGGGCGAGGGTGTCTTCTTCCGAGGCGGTGTTGTAGGGGTAGGGGATTATCTTTGTGTTGGGGTGGGAAGTGGTTGGTGGGGCGAAGAGGTCGGTGGGTGAGGGTGAGCTGGAGAGGGAGGAGCAGGCGTATATGCAAGCTGCACCGTGGGCTGGGAAGGGTGTTAGTTGGTTGGTTTATGATATTTCTGATCTAATCCTGGTGTTCTGCGTTTGAGAAGATGGAGACTTGGAATATACACACCGGCGAGCTCGGCGACAATGGCTTTTCCAACAGGTTGTGTTGCTCCTGTTACTACGCATACGAAGCCATACTGGATATCATTCACATGTCAGCTATCTTTATCACTATAGTCACGTCGTTTTTCGATTTCATCCAGTGTTCTCTCTTCTCTTTCTCAACCCAACCACCTTGACATCCAAAAATTCAAGAGATCAACACATACAAGTTTCCCGTCTGCCCTATATGGCGAAAAGTGCTCAGAGTCCGTGATCCCCACATCTCTGCCACCATTCGATTCCGCCATGTTATCAGCCGGTGAATTGTATCAGGAGCTTCGAAAATTCAATGTTGTAGCGAAAAAAGGCAATGATCCTTCGAGGGGTGAGGGTTGGAGAATGAGAAGACGCGCAACGGCACGTCGAACAGGACATTCCCCATCATGTCAGCTTCCCAATTCGACAAATCCTCGTTTATGCCAGGTTTGTTATGTCAGTGTTACATGACATATCCCCGGGGCGCGGAGATGCGGGTAATTGTTGGTTGGCGGTTGGGATGCTTATCGCGAGGCTTATCAGGGCTGCGTGATGGGCTCTTCCGCGGGGCTTTCTCGTGGGGCAAGGTGGTAAAAGATGGTCTGGCGAACAGCGAAAAAACCTTTGGATGTGTAGTGTATAATTTCTACAGCATTGAAGCTCTCCGGTAGGGTTTACCATCTAATCTAGCACCTTTGTCATGCACCTATATCCGCACCTCCCACCAACGCCCCGTAGATTCACCCCTACCCAACGCCCTCGCTATGCTATCGCAACCAAAACCTCCTACGCAGTCTTCGCCTTATCCTCCTCCTGAGTCTTCCTCATCTCCTCCCTGGGCGGCAAAACGTCCGGCCCAAAGCTCAGCGGCAACAGCTCCCCCATTGTCCTCACAATCCACTTGCCCTCCTTATTGAACATGAAAATAGGTGTTTCCAGCTTCAGAAACTCCCTCAGAAACTGTCTGCACATGCCACACGGCGAGCAGAAATCGTCGATATCCGTCGTCACGCCTACGGCCTTGAACGACCCGATTTGGTGGCCCGCCACAACAGCTGTACCCATTGCGACGCGCTCAGCGCAGGTTCCGACGGGGTATGCTGCGTTTTCTACATTTGCGCCGATGATGGTGTGTTCGTCTGCCGTGACATTCGTGGATGTTGCGGTGTTGAGGAGGAGCGAGGCGCCAACGCGGAAGAGGGAGTATGGGCCTGTTGATTTCGAATTAGTATACATCCCATCTCATGAACCTCGTAAACAGTCTTGTCCCAGGATACGTACAGTAAGCCTTGACCTTTGCCTCAAAGCATCGCTCGCCCAACACCTGCAACTCCTGCGCAGAAACACCGTGAATCAACCCATCTTTCTCCGTCACAGCTTCACCAGGAGTGAATTTGGGGACGCTGCTTGTTGACATTGTGGGAAAGGAAGGGAAAGAAAACAAGGGAGAGGCGCGACGCGGGCTGCTTTTGGGGTAAACGCTGAGCCGAGGTTTGCCGTGGGGCACGCTATTAAGACTATGCTACCTTTCGGCCAACTCCGATGGCTAGTTCGACTCGACTACTGATGTCAGGTGGTTCATAATGGCTGATCTGAATGTTTCGTACGTATTGGCGTGGCGTGATATCGCTGTTAGGTGATATAGAATTAATAACAGATTTATAGAGACGTTTTCACCCATCTTCACGCGTAATGAAATGACGATTTCCGCGTCAACTACAACGTGATTCATTTGAGTGAAAATTCTCGAATCTTTGAACAGCATCGGATTTATTCTATCTCACTTTTGGGAATTTCAGAAAGGCGAAGACATTCGGGCCAGCAACTCCAGGCTTGTACTAGCGCATTCCTTTCACCGTCAACACAACACAACCCACTGGTCAATAAAATCTTGAATCCTGTGTTGATGTCATATATCCACCTGATTTCAAATTCAAGTTCTTCACCTAGATACTTATGGGCAATCTATGGTGGTGGTGATGATGATATTGGCGGACTTACTCACGAAGCGCTCCATCAAATAGCTCACATTTTTTGTAGATTCACTAATTAACTTGTCAACTTCCCAAGATCAGGGCTATTCAGACCCACAAAAACAACCTGATTCAGGGTAGGATGCCTGCAGGAGACACCAAACAACTTGAGAAGTGTATCAGCTTGTTTATTCGGCGCTAGATGGTAAACAATCAGTTGTTAATCAGGTCAATTTCCTGATAGACTGTATCAGATCGAAGCGTTGACTAGCATTCTGTTCCCTTATTCCGCAAAAATAGATTCAACACCCAATGATTTTGGTTACAATGTCCTGATGGACGCCTAACACTGGGCCTCAATCCAATCCATCATTTACAGTCCACAAGGCAAAGAAGGGCAACAAAAGCGGTGTCGTCTGTCTGATCCAGCCGGAATCACAAATTTGGAATCCTCTGGATTATGATTAGAACTGTTCAGTAGGACAAGCGGGGTTGCTGCCGCTGACAACGATCACTATCCTCACAATAAGCATTTGTGGTAGCAAAATAAGCATTTCTCGGTGACTTTTCGCCGAAGCTTAGCCACCAAACTTTCGAGGGGCCTGGACACATATTTCAGACGATCGCTGTTGTAAGATGCACCTACAGGGCGTATTCTTACTCAAAGGATTCCTTCTCCCATCTTGGTGGCCTAATCTAGTCCTCTTCATCGTAGCCAGCATGTCAGAGACGTCAGAATCTTCAACCTGACGCTGGTGATAGGATGGGAGCAATAGACAAAGGCGTAAGTTTCTTTTCTCCTCCCATCGCAACCCGTCTCCAACCTAACTCTGGGTTGCCTAAACCAGGATTCTGCTTAGAAATACGAAAACCTTCTGAGTCCTTGGAGCGATGGCTCCAGGTTCCCTTAGCACAAGAGGCGTATCGGCTCGATGTTAGCACCGTAGTTCCATCCAATAAAAACCAATGCTGCGTCTGTGAGCTATATCTTTCAGCTCGACTAGGCTATACAGGTCTTCTCATATTCCGAGGCAATGCATGAGAGTCTCCGATTGATTCGCCACATGCAGAGGGAATTGTCGGACAGTGTACATTCCAACGCCCTGTCTGATGGACTTTGTCAGGCCGCCTGCAGGTTCTATGACAGCTACTTTGTACTGCGCGATATCCCGTTACCGTTTATGATTATATCTTAGGGTGCCTCGTAGAAGGTACAGATATAAAGTCATCGTCTTTCAGCAATCATTCTCTTTTTCCATCACTATCTCAATCATCTTTGTGTCGACCATCACCAGCTCTTCAACAATTCCGTATCCTACGCTTCCATCAAGGACAATGCGTTTCGTCATCATCGCCTTTGCCTGTCTTGCCTCCATGGCACTTGCGCAGACAGAGTGCGGCCCACCTGGATGCCCAGACGGGGCGGCAAACTGTGGTTGTGCTGGAGGCGAAGGAACGACTATCTGCTTTTGTGAGGATGCTTCTAGTAACGACGACGTTTCTTCCTTATGCCCAAACCCTAGCGACTGCGGATGCCCAAGTAACCAGCATGGTCGCTGCATCAGCGTATGTATGATTTCCTTCTACGAAATGATCAAGACTAACACCTAAACAGCAGGTTCCTATCACACTCAACCCCCCACCCAAAGAGTAATAGGACCACAGCTGCTACGCAGGGATGTGCTTCGTTCTCAAACCGTACATCGTGCTGGATTGATGGGATCGGTTTGCGAAGATGTTCCAGAGTGGACGACCACAACTATTGGACGGACGTCTTGTGCAATACTATGGCAGCTTAGGTTGATATGTGCAGCCTACACTCTAGTCTCATATTGTCCGGACACCAGGGTATAGATATAGTCGTTCTTTAGGTAAATAATATCGTTATGATTGTGGTGTTCAGCGAGACTTTTCTAATATATGAGTCGTGACAACAATGAATAAGACTCTTAGCAGGTAGCATCTGTCACTGCCGTTATGCCCGAAACTTTTATAAAAGCAAGCGGCAATGCCAGTCGCAAGCCCTACAGCTAAGCCCATGCCAAGGCTTCAACTGTCTACCATGACTTGCAAGTCCTCGCAGAGCAGCAGGAAACTCCATCACCGCTTACAGATAAATAAATCAAAAAGAAATTAGATTTGGGGAGTTACAAACAATGGAAGTACACGATACGCGTATGGAACGAGGAAGATCTGCTGCTAAGCATCGACATTACTTACAAATACTACTATAATATAGTTCTATAGTGTAGTGATTGCAGCATGAACTCGGTGTGATACGAAAAGAACGCAAGTTGGCTTCAGACTGGCCAGCGAAACAACAGATCTTCGCGCTGGTTGAGCTGGCTGTGCCGCTATTCATCTACGCTGCCACTGTGTGTCGATATGTTGGTAGCAAAGGAAGCAGTCCTACGGCTTTTCTGAACAAGGTCCTGCAGTATCAAAAGGCGACCTTTTCGCAGCTAGATCGGACGTACCTCCCTGTGCTCGACCAGCTGCTTAGTGAGCAGGAGGAAGACGAGAAGGAGGCGTGGCTTCAGGCTTTCCGAGAAGTCGTCGGCAGTGTTGTTGTTCTTCAAAGCCCACTCTCGGCTGTCTCACTTGCGCAGCTGCTTCAAGTTCCAAAAGAGGAGATCCAGTGTCGACTCGACTCTTTGCACTCTGTTCTTAGTGTTCCTAACGGCGAGGACGCACCTGTTCGCCTTTTGCACTTATCCTTTCGCGAGTTCCTTGTCGACCCCCAAAAACAAGGAAAGAGCCTGTTCTGGGTAGACGAGAAAATCACGCACAAGAAGCTCGCCTCTCGTTGCCTTAAGCTTATGTCTGGACCAAGCGGCCTACACCAAGACATGTGCAGCCTTCCAGGACCCGGGGCCCTAAGGAGCGAGATTGACGAGGGGAGAATTACTAGTGGGTTGTCACCTGACCTACAGTATGCGTGTCGTTACTGGGTCGATCATCTTAAGCAGGGTCAGGAAGACATCATTAATAGAGACATGACCCACCTCTTCCTGCAGAAGCACCTTCTTCATTGGCTCGAAGCCATGAGCCTTATAGGAGAACTAAGCAGATGCGTCGACTTGCTCGACAGCCTCCAAGCACTTGCCAGCGTAAGATCTTTATAAAACACCTTTCTCCTACTCTATTAACGTGTAACGCAACCATCTGCAAACTTAGTTTTAGCCTTTCTTCAAGATGCTAAGCGGTTTGTGCTGCGGTTTCAGTCTGTGCTCGCAGATGCGCCGCTGCAGATCTATTACTCCGCACTCGTGTTTGCACCGGAGAGGAGCCTAGTACGACAAACTTTTAAAGAACAAGTGCTAGAGAAGGTCAAGATGCTGTCTATGAGAGAAGCAGACTGGGATGCGTGTCGCAGCACGCTCGAGGGCCATTCCTTCCATGTCAGCGCGGTGGCCTTCTCGCCAGACGGGCAGCTAGTCGCGTCGGGATCTTGGGACAAGACAGTACGGCTGTGGGAGGCGGCGACGAGGACGTATCGCAACACGCTCGAGGGCCATTCCTCTGGTGTCAGCGCGGTGGCCTTCTCGCCAGACGGGCAGCTGGTCGCGTCGGCATCAGGTGACAAGACAGTACGGCTGTGGGAGGCGGCGAAGGGGACGTGTCGCAGCACGCTCGAGGGCTCTTCTCGTATCATCACTTATGTCGATTTCTCGCCAGATGGCCAGGTACTTCGCACTAACCAAGGCGATATTCCTTTGCCTCAAACTCCTGTTGTGACATCGCTCTGGAGGCCGCAGCTGCAGTTCTTCTACGTTCAAGTGCAGGATCAG